CCAGAAAAATTCATCCCACTTGCAAAAAGCAAGCAGGAGGTCTTTCCCACGCCTCCCAGGCAATTTGCAGTTCTCTGTTTGGGAACTGATTACTTATCCAGCAGCGTGGTTTCAGAGCTTCAGGTACTGAAGTATGGCCTTGTAGAATGGAAGCAGTGGAAGATGAATGCCTACTCAGAGCCCTGTGCATGTGATATGCTATTTTCCAAGACTGTGTGGACTGAGGATGTGTTAGTCTCCCAGGGTCTTAACATGAAGCTATACACACGTGTGTTAATTATGTGAAATATTTAAATAGGCTTTCTGATTTATTTAGGCCATTTTTGATGGTCTTGGACCATTTCTAGGGTTGCTAACTTAAAGGGGGCTTGTAGATGAAAAAAACGTATAAACAGTGCTGGGGTGTCTAGCTTTTAGAGGAAAGAGCTTGTCTATGTTGGTACCCATTAAGGACCTTTCAGGCACACTGCATCACCTGTGCTATGCAGACAGGCAGCCCCATGAAATACACATCCATGCAGATGCCCCCACCACCCCGCTGGAAGGCCGTGCTCCGTGGCACGAGCTCAGTGCACTGCTGGGAAATGTCAGCATCTCTCTGTGTTCTCAAAAACATCACGTGGTGCCTGGCTGTCTCGAGGCTGGGAGCCTCCAGCGAGGTGGCATCTTTTTTGAGCTTTTTGTTTTCCTCCTTTTCTTCATTTCTTCCTCGTTTTAATGGGATGGTGCGCCAGAGGTTCCCGTTAAGCAGCAGAATGTTGTATTTCATTAACTACATTACACACTTGGTTTGATTTCCAATTAGCCTGGGATGCCAGCACAGTAATCTGATTGCTTTGACTCTTCGGCGTTCTAGATCCGCCTAGCTTCCCTCCTGTTCCCCCACCCCCTGCAAAGCTTTTCTGTGTGGGCTGGCAGGCAGACACTCGGGTTTTCACCCACCCCCTTCCCTCCTTGTTGATGTATTTTATACCATTTGCTCTGAGCTAAAGGTTTGAGCTGCCAGGAGGAATAACTGGCAAAGCAAAGCTCTGAGCTCTGCAGCTCCCCGCAGGTTGGAGCCAGAGTCTGGGGCTACAGAGGTGGGGGTTGTTTGTAGGTGGGTTTAAAAATGTGGAGTTCTCATTAAATCTGTAGCACGGTCTTAAGTGTAGGGTTTATTTTTTAATAAGAGCCTGTGAGATTTAGTTATCTTGGTACCAGTGACACTTCTCCAAGTCTAAATTTGTCAGGAAATTCCAGCCAGAAAGCAAATTTATTGTCATTCAGCTCAACTGTGCTCTGAAGGGATGTTGCTGTGACTGCATTTGAATAGTGTTGACATGTAGTGGATTGATTTTAAATTAGCAAGGCAGGGACCTCAGATGATGATGGTCATTACTGTTTAATCTCCAGTCTGCTCTTCGTTTGTACTTTCTGGTTGATTTTTAGGCTGATTTTCATTGGTTGGGATCTGTGAGCTGTGGTTTTCGTTTTGCCAGGCACATCCTCACATATATGGCCTTATGTAACACACAGCATATTTGTTCAGGCTTTTTTTTTTTAACTTGTTATTTTAGAAAATGGTGCTTTACAGTGCTTACACCATTAATCATTGTCTCAGATTTGTTATAATGCATTTGCATACAAAAATGAAGTCAAATTACAAGTTAAAGCTTTGAAAAGCTATTTGTGTTCTTTGTTTGGATTTACCTGTCTGTGAGTAGCAAGCTATCCTTGCTTCTGAGAACCAAGAGCCCACACTAGATGTTAGTTTGGCCTTTTAGTTGATGAAATAAGTCCTCCAGCTCTCAGCTGGTTTCCCATTCCTTGGAGCTGGCTATGTGTTTTTTAGAAGCAGAGAGCAGTGGCTTGCTGAAGAAGCCCATGGCTTGCTTTTGCTGCTCAGCTGAGCTGTGACATTTGCTGTGAAACATCTGTTTCTGATCTGATCTTACAGTTCTACACCACATGTGAAGTTTTACCTTTACTTTCCATGTATTCCCTCAATACTGTCATTGCTACTTATTTTCAAAGTGAAGACACTGTTGTGTAATTTGTTTTATCACTTTGTACCTTGCACTTGTTCAGCAGACAGACTTCATTATCTCATATTGCTGTGCCAAGGAAGAAGAATCAACCAAGTTGAACACAAGTTCAGCCTTTAAGTTGTGGGTTTCCTTTAGCCAAGTGCTGCTGAAGCTGATAGAGATCCATAACTCCCCAGTAATGGCCAGAGCCCCACGCTGTGGGCAGCATTTCAGTTTAGGTGTACATGTTGCCTGAGCCGTCACTTGATGAGAGCTGTGGGCAAGATGGGAGCTGTGCACTGGGATGGAACCGTGCAGTTCTGGCTTGCTTTGCTCTGAGTTCTTGTCTCATCGTGCATCCAGGGCAGCACCAATGAGGAGAGGTGAGCAGGCATACTTGAACCAGTGTTTATGTTGGACCCATTTCTGAAATCTGTTTTCATTTCAACTGTGCTGTGGCTGTGTAAAAAGCCTTGAAGATGCTAATTATTTTTGTTGGCATACTATAACACATCAATATGTTCAGTATGAATCGCCAGCAATTGCTTTTTTATTTTGAATCAGTGTTGCTTAAAGTTTATTGAAAATATTCCCCATCCCCTTCCATCTCCTCTTCAGGTTCATTTATCTTTGTGTCACCAAGCTGACAGCAGCAGTGCTCTGCTCAGGTAGAAGGTGAGGACCAGCTGTAGTTGCACACTATGATACTATATCCCAGCCAGCCTGGCAGAGCTGAGCTTCTGCCTGTGTTTCACAGCCCCTTCCAGTCCTTTTTGTGGTGCAAATCAGAACATGGGCAGCAGGCTCCTTAGGCATCATACCATCTCATGCTCACACGTATGGGTGCTTCTGATGAAAACCTGACACGCTTCATCTGGTGGATTGCCATTTAGTGTCCCATCCTCAGTCTTCTGTGGATTACAGCGTTTATGCTGCCATGCTAGTTGCTCAAAAAAGCCCCAAAATCACTGTATGGCCAGGGTTGGAAGGGACCTTGAGGATCACGAATCTCCAACCCCCTGCCCCATGCAGGGCCACCAACCTCCACATTTAATACCAGATCAGGCTGCCCGGGGGCCCCATCCAACCTGGCCTTGAACACCTCCAGGGATGGGGCATCCACAGCCTCTGTGGGCAACTGTTCTAGCACCTCACCACTCTCATAGGAAAGAACTTCCCTGACATCCAACCTAAATCCTTCCTCCCTCCACATAAAATCATTTCTCAAAAGATCCTAAAAGCAAGCAAGCCCTTGCTCACAGCACTTTCTGAGTTGGAGCCACTGCTTTTCTGGGTATCCTCTGCCTGTGGCAAATTCAGGTTGATAGACATGGCTTTCTCTGTAAGGGAGGAAGCTTCAGCACAGCTGCTTTCACTTGTTCTTGGCCCAGGGATGAGGATATCCACATGGACTAATTACTGCGAGAAGTCAATGCCTGGCAGCTTGAGTTCATTTGCCAAAGCACAGCCCTCTTCCATTGCACAGCTGACAGGTACCTTTCTGCAGTGCTTTGGTTCTGTCACTTCCTTTTTCTTTTTTTCCTCTGTTTCATTTTGTAAGTGTTTTCTTGTAACAGTTTTGAACTTTTAAGTTGCTTTCATGATTTGTCTTCACTTGAAAATTTCCAAACTCTAATGAAATTAAAATGGTCTTCTGCTTCGGTTTTATGCTGTGTCACATTAACCATTCAGGAATTAGGCAAATTAAATAATGTGACAAATAAGCAGCACATCTTAATAAGTAGCTCATTAAAGCAGCATAGGAAGACAGCAGTTCTTATTGCTAATGGTTTTGCTGATGGAAGGCTCACTCAGCTAATGAAATTCATCACACCTTGGATCGGAATCTCTGACCTCTAGGTGTGAAATGCAAAGCAATCAGCATTGCTTCAGCAGTGACTTTGGAATACATTGCTTTAATGACAAGCAGTGATGGGAGCAATGCACAGAATTTCGTGGTTGTGCTGTTCTTGTTTTCGGTGTACTGCATCAAAACCCTTTTTAATCATCTAAATGCAAGGGTTTTAGTAAGATGTTTCTTTGACTTTAATCCCACAGAAAGTAATGTTATAAGGCCCTGTTTGAGCAGATTTGCTCAATGAGTTAGGGTGACATTGTATATGTTGCAGTATGTCCTCAAAGCACCTCTTCATAAGGCATTCTGATTTTGTGTCAAACTTGGGCTTAAATTTCTTTTGGTTTCATGTTAGATTTTGAAGGAAATAGAAGAGTCTTCCCATCTCTTGGATTGGGCTGAGCCATATGTCACAGGGCTGCCAAGGGGGTACTGGGCAAGAAGCATCCATTCCTGACTGAGTACAGTGATTAGAGGCTTTGGGACCCTGACTGTGTCATATAAAGAGAACGTCCTTAATGGAAATGGACCCACTTGGATCATTGAATCCAACTCCAGCTGAGCACCTGATGGGAACAAGGGGAGTGAGATGATGCTTATGGGGGCTTGCTGCAGGAAAGCCTGGAGCCTGTAGGTGAGATGCTCTCGTTGATCCATGTGGGCACTCTCAGATGCCATTGCTGGCCCCCTCTAGAAAAATGTCTCTGGTGAAGTTCTGGTCCCAGGTCCTCATTTTATCTAGAGACAACTTTAATTTCTGTCTATCATAGACAGAAACACTTTCAGGGTGTAATTTCTCTAGCAAAATGCTCTTTACGCCTGTGTTGACTTCTCATATGTCCTATATTTGTCATTAGCCCTTTCTAGCTGTGCTGTTGTTCTTTCACTTCTTCCCCAAGAGACTCAAAATTTCAGCATAGGGTAAGGTTAAAGTCGGGCTTTGGATTCTCAGAATTGTTTGTAAGGTTGTATTGGGTCCCTGAAGGCTGTGATGACTGTGATGGCTGCAGCTGCTAACACATGCCAGGATCTCCAAGTGTCCCATGTGTAACCCGTGCTAAACCCAAGTTAATCCCCATCAAGCTGCTGAAGACACAGTAGCAAAGAATGCATCTCCTTGTCTCCTCTTCTCCCAGGTGGTAGCAAATGCTGTTGCTGCTTTGTCAGAAATCAGCGAGTCGCATCCCAACAGCAACCTGCTGGACCTGAACCCTCAGAACATCAACAAGCTGCTGACAGCGTTAAATGAATGCACAGAGTGGGGGCAGATCTTCATTCTGGACTGCCTGTCCAACTACAACCCCAAGGATGATCGTGAAGCTCAAAGGTACGTTTGATCCTGCTCTCACATGGGCTGCTTGCATGATTTGGTAGCAGAGCATGTGCAGACTTCTGGCATTGTCACCTCTATGTGAAAGGCTTGTAAATAAGAGGGCTGTGTGTTCTAGATCTCAAACAGTACAAAAAGTCTTGATGTAGAAGTTTAAAAGGGAGGTGAACTTGGGGGATCTGGGCTATTGCTGGTGAGCTGCCACTTCCCATTGCAGAGCCAATTCCTATTTCTTACTGCTCTTTTGTGTTTTCCACATAGGTCTGAGGGCTTTCATAGTATTTTTTCCAACTAAAAGTTAGTCTGTGGTAGAATCAAAACAAAGTTAAGAAACAACTTTAAATTCTCCTTTTTTCTTCTATTTTTAACTCTAATAACTAAGCTAAATGTGGAGACCTTAGGCGTATGTAGTGTGCTTCAAGGCTCTTCCTGGTCTGTCTGAAATCACAAAGCCAGATTTCATGCCCAAGACAATAAGGAACCAGAAGGAACAATTACTTGGTGTAGGGGAATTCTGAGACTTGATGTATTCCATGTTAACAGTTGGGTGGAGGGGAAGGAAGGAGCACAAGCCCATAAACAAAATTTAGTCAGACCTGCTCTGATTTGCTGTATTTTTCTGGTGACTCTTCTTTTTGAAGCACAAGAGATAATCCAATAAAAAATTTCTGCCTGTAGTCTTGCTGCTTTTTTTCCACCTCCCTCCTCCTTGTGCTCTAAGATTTTGTGCCAGAAAGCAGATATTAATGAGTGCTAGCAACCTGCAGAGATCTCCAGAGTGTCAGGCCAGCATTATCCTGGCTTTGTAAGAGGCACCACTAGTTTGAGCAGCTGTGAATATCCCTGAGTTCCTTATCCTTAATTCTGCCGGAGCACTGTACAAAACTGTATGGGCAGTAATGACTCCTTTTCTTTTGGAGCTTGACTCTTAGGGTCTGTCTTATTTCAGATTGAAGAGTGGCAGCACCTGCCTTTGTAGCGTTCTCCTTTACAGCAAGGCTGCTGTCACTCCCCTGCACACGGGGAGGCTGAGGCACAGTGAGCTGAAGAGGCTTTGGCTTTACAGGCGATCTTGGGCAGTGGCATCTAAGATCTGCTCTTGTCTTATTTCAGCCTCCTGTGCTCTTCCCTTAGCTTTACTGCCTCCCTTCCAGGGTGGCTGAAAGCAAATCTTTCAGAGAAAGAAACTTTAGGGAGGCACAGATGGGAATAAGGTTGTTCTGGGTTAGCAGTGTGCAGGAGAGGGTGGGAAGAAACATAACAGATGCTGTCAGAAAGACCATATGAACCCAAACTTCCTTTCTGCTTGGGATGGGTTGTTTAGGATGCTGTTGAATATAGGATCCACTGAGGCAAGTGATGAAGCTGAGTCTTGGGAGGATATTTAGGTTGCTTTTTTCCTGTTTCTTCAGAGTAACAGAAACTGGTTTTTTTAGAACCAAATTGTTGTAATGGCAGAAACTTGTCCAAAGGCAAGCAAGCCTGAAGCATGTATCACCTCTGAATGATTACATGGGAGCTAAGGTGTTTTTCTGGTAGTGGTTTTGTTAAAGTTGTTTTGTAAGTGACAGATGAGATTACAGAACTTGAAGAGAATACCACAAGGCAGAAAAAGCCAATAACCAAATGTCCATTGCTGAGGGCTGGAAGAATTTGAGTGAAGTGTAGCAGGAGAGAAACTTGAAGCTGTGAAAGAAGTCATTCTTCGCTTCTTGCTGTGTTCAGGAAAGCAAGGCTGTCTGCCTGTTCTCTGTAAACAAAACCAAGTAGAAGTGTTTGAGGAAGGTGTCTTTAGCTGTGTGCATTCTCCAGAATTCAGGTAAGATCTGAAATATTTTGAGATTTCTGGATTAAATGTTCTGTCTTCTGTCCTCTTCTGTCCCCAGTATTTGTGAGCGGGTGACTCCTCGGCTGTCCCATGCCAACTCAGCAGTGGTTCTGTCAGCAGTGAAAGTTCTGATGAAGTTCCTGGAGCTTCTCCCCAAGGATTCAGATTATTACAACATGCTGCTGAAGAAGCTTGCTCCTCCACTGGTTACCTTGCTGTCTGGAGAGCCTGAAGTCCAGTATGTTGCCCTGAGGAACATCAACTTGATTGTGCAGAAAAGGTAAAATCTTAGTTCCTGGATGTGGGAGGACATCTGCTTTCCTTCTGTTATTTTTATACATGCAGAACTGCCTTTAACTCAGGTTCAGCCTCTTCAAGGGTTGGATTGAACAGTCTTGTGACTCTGGTAGCTTACATAAGTTGTGTCGTTGCAGAGACTCGTGATACCAGTGTCACGCAGTACTTTGTTACCTGTCTTTTTCTCTTCACTGCATTTTAAGTGCACCAAGAAGTGCCCTCCCACCAGACTGTAAATCAGGTTGCATGCAGGGAGGAGAGTGTAACTGCACAGGTCATAATGACCTGTAGAAACTCAGTGTGCTTTATCCTATTGTCTTTCAATGTGGAAGAACCAAGCTGATAACATACTGATGTACAGCGTTGTTTTTTCACCAATTTACTCCCACTTGCTTGAATACTGCCTACCCTTACTGGAAAGGTGGGACAGCACTTTGTGATTGTGTGTGCATGGCAGAGTTCCTGTGCAACGGCAGAAGTATGTGCAAGTGGAAGCAGGAAATGAATTTGTCAGTGGGATCTACATAAAGATCTTTCACTGATGACAATGATACGAACATCAGTGCATCATAGCACTGTGCACAGTTGCTTGGCTCAGCTGTTCAAATGGAGGAGGTGTGATGTAGATGTGGTTAGATAGACCAGTTAGAATGGAGCCTGTTGTTTTGACCAGTCTTGGGTGAAACAATGTTGTGTTCCCTTCAGGCCTGAAATCCTGAAGCAGGAAATCAAGGTGTTCTTTGTGAAGTACAACGACCCTATCTATGTGAAGCTGGAGAAACTGGACATCATGATCCGCCTGGCTTCTCAAGCAAACATTGCCCAGGTCAGCTCAGCAAGTTCTAACAGACCCTGCATGTGTTCTGGGCATGGAAAAACCCTCTGATCCCTGAAAGAGACTGTGCAACTATCACTCATGTTGTTCTGCTGTTAGGCATTGCTTTCCCTGTGCTCTTTGCAGGGAAGAATTGGAGTTTTCCCCATAATTTCAGTGGAGGTACCAATGATTGTGACAATTAGGTAGATCATTTTACAGATCATGATTCTGGGTGAAAAGCTCCTGTCAATGAGTCACTGCTAGAGCTGAGGTTAGAATGAGAGGCTTGTTTCCAGTAAGAGAGGTGTGCCTTTAATGGAGGCATTCAGAAAGGTCAAACATTACTGAAGTGTGAATTTCAAGTGTATTAGTTAAATAGTTACTGCCTTGTATAGGCACTCTTCAGAGCTAAAATAACCTTCATCTTGCTTAACTTGCTTGCAGAATGGGAACATCACAAAGCTAAAGCTAAGCTGAATTGAAACTACTTTCTAGTTTAGATTCTCTTTGAATGTAATATAGTTTAATCCAAAGCCCTTAAATAAAGTAAGTGTTCTTGAGTGCCACTCTGGTCACAAGGCCTAATGCTAATGCAGAATGATTAATGCCTCTGGTTAATGCTATTATTGTCCTATCCTAATTATCAAAGAGCAGCTTCATTTAATGTGACACTTTTAAGCAGCTGTCTCCGCTGTGTGTTATCCTTGTCTGTTTGGTTTTTGTTTGGCTGGTGTTTGTTTGTTTTGAACAGAGCAAGGTAATTCCATGCCCCTCTTGTGCTGGCTATGTGGAAAACATTTTAAAAAGCAGTTTCCATGAGCATGTAGGCTCCACACCAGATTTAATGCCTAGTGTTTAGATAATGCAGGCTGCCTGGATGAAAGGCAGCGGTGTCTGGAGGACAGTGTCTCAATCTGGGATCTGCAGAGAAGTAAATAAATCCCTTCCTGGTTCTGAAGAGGCATTCCTAAAAACAGCTCAAGCTTTGTCAGAAATGCATGCTGAAATGAGACCCACTGAGAGCAACCTTCTGCTCCCTTCTTCCCCGTGCAGCTTGTTGAGACGCCCAGTCTCCATGCCTGCTGTATCAGGCAACAGATTGCTTGTATCTGAGGTTCTCAGATTCAGGCAATATTTGGAAAGCACAGACTACTAAACCTGAGTGCTAAGTGCTGCGCAACGTAGATCATCCAAGGAAATAATAGGACTTCGAAACACAGATGTCCTGTCTTCTTCTTGTAGATTTATTTGTCTGCAGTCTGGCCCTTCAAGGCTTCTTTATCTTGTCACTGTTCTGAGCAGTTGGCATTGACTACAGGTTTTTCAAACAACCGTCTTGCTTTGTGCTGCCTCACTTCTCCTTTGTCATTTCTTTTTGACATCACCATGATGTCATGTGTGACATGAGCAACCGAAGTGTGAGATTTTGAGAGCAGATAGGTTGCATGGGGTATTTTTGTTAATGATTTCTTGTTTTAAGGTAAAGTAGCTTTTTGCTGTTAGATCCAAGTGGGTCTTGGTGTAAGCCCTTGTTTCCATTAGCAAAATAACTGAAATAGAGGCATAAATCTTAGAGGAGGCGAATCTTTATATTGTTTCTGGTCCTTGTATGAGTCTGTTCCATGATGTCTTTGAATCCCTTCCTTTTCTTTGACCCAGTAAGGATGCATGGGTTCATCTCCATGCAGAAAAGCAGAGAGAAAAAGAGCTTTGCATGCAGTGAATGTAGCACAATAAGTACAACAAACTACATAAAATCTGTTTGTGAGGTGTGTCAACTCTGTGTCACTGTATCTTCAGTGTAAGGGGGATTGCAATGGTTAAGTTTAGCAGGGCTGATTTTGCCCCCAGCTGTTTGTCAGGGGAAACTTGGAGCCTCTTTTGGCTTCAGCCACCCTGAATTGAGTCTGCCTGCCTAATCCAAGCCGTATTTCCTCCCAACAGCATTGGCTTCAGAGGTAGAGATTGATATCAGGGTTTTGACAGTGTTAGCTTTGGATGTGCATGGTTGGCTGTGGAAGAATACATCCTGCTTGTGTGCTGGTGTTTGGGTGGCATCCCTTGTCAGCCAGGTGTTCACTTTGACGTGCTTTCTTTGCAGGTCCTGGCAGAGCTGAAGGAATATGCTACTGAGGTGGATGTTGACTTTGTTCGCAAGGCTGTTCGAGCTATTGGACGCTGTGCCATCAAGGTTGAGGCAAGTACCTGAGGCTTCAGGTTTTCCATGCTTTTCTGACTCCAGAACCAATCTCAGGCTTCTTTGTCTCATTCTCAAGTCATGTGAGGCTTCTTTGCTCCTATGTTGGTGATTGAGTGATGTGGATCCACCGTACCTGTGAGCACGGCCCCAGCAAAGCAGCAGGGTTATGAGCTCTGGGTGACTGTATCACAAGGGGGGTCTGCTTCTCTCACTCAGCCTGCAAGCAGAGCAAGGCAGCAAAATAGTCACAGATGAAGTATGTTACTGTGCTGGCTTCAGTAGAACAATGACTGCTTATTCACAAGGTCCTCCTTTAATTGCTGTGACCTGACCTTTCAAAGGGGGTAGAAGAGACTGAATGCAGAGGAACTCAGTATTAAATGTTTTATGTTCCTCCCCCCCTATTTCAGCTGAATAGAACAGAGTTACAGAGTCTTGTTATGGAGTCAGCACTGAAGAACAACTTGCACAAACATGGAGTTACTCTGTCTAGTTTGAAGGTCTCTGTAGTTGGTGGCTTCATCTGCAGTGTGCTCTCTAACCTAGCTGCTTATACAAATACTTGCCAAGAGTCTTTGCAGTTACCTGGAACAACACTTTGAAACATCCTCTGCCAGCTCAGCATTCACCAGAATGCTCATAATAGATTTTTTTTATTAATGCTGGTTCTGCTAATTGACCTAATTTGTATATAAATCTAGGATGCCTGACAGGAGCTCAGAACGGCTGTGAAGAGAGAGATGTCTTATGCTGTGGTGTTGATACTTTCCACTAAACTGATAAACGAGTGCCAAATGTCACATAAGGGGTCTAATTTCAGCTGAGCTCATTTAGCTCTTGCTAAAGCATGTTCCCATGAGCACTGAGCAGCAGCAGGTTTAAATAAAGACCACATCATGCCTGGCTGAGTGCAGTGTCAGAGCACAGGTGTCCCTCATTTCAGTTAAATCACTGGTAACCTGCATAAAGAGGATGCTGACTTTGTCCCTCTGAGAGATCTACTGCCTCTTCCCACTCTTCCTCCCCTTCAGCTCCTAGAGGTTTATCACTGCAGTGGCTGTTCTTTTAAGTGGGACCAACTGAGCAGGTGATCACAGGTTCAATTCTGCAGCTCAGAACACTGAGTGCTCCCTCTGTGTTGCCTGCAGCCAGGAAGCTGTCTGGAAAAAGCCACAGTAGTGGCAATAGGAAATGCTACTGAGAGGTTAAAAGGAGCTGGTGGCAGCCTTCCTGTTGGGGTGCTTGTGCAGGGCAGGGCAAGCTCACCTTACTTCTCAGTAGGGGTTTTCTCACTAGGTCTTGGCCCTGCTCTGTCCTGGTTTCAGATGGAAGGTGATGTATTCTGACAACACTGTGATACTCGTGGAAGTTTTTACCCTTTCTCACCCTTGTCCTTGACTCTTTATGTTTCCATCCCTGATGCTATGCATTCAATTTGTAAAGAGCCAATAATAACAATAATATTCCATGGATCAACAAATTGGCAGTGACCCTCCAACTATATAATTGTGAAGCTCTCAGCAAGTAATGTTAACCTTGTTGTTTTTTTAGCAGCAGTCCTTTGAAGTCACTAGTGCTAAAGATGAGGTCTGTTTACTCCTCTAACAAGAGCCAGACTTAAGAGGGCAAACACAGAACAACTCATTGCATGTCCTCATCTCTAGGTTAATCTCTGTCCTCGGTGCATCTGTGTTTACTAGAGGCTGTTTGTTCTGTGAGTTATGACTAATGGAAGAGCATTCTCTCAGCCATCGGTGTCCAAGCTCCCAAGGCTTAAAAGTCTGCTTTTTGACATAGGGCACAGGCAGCAGGAGCTGCTGATGAATGAGTATTCACAGGGAACCTCAGCTCTGCCTTCAAGGATCCTATCTTTCGTCCAATTATCTCTCCTAGAAGAATAAGACAGTAAAATAAATTTGTCTGCTGAGCCGTTGAGCAAGTGTGGCAATACCTTTGTTGTGCAGCAGTGCATAATGCTGCAAACAGAAGTAGTGTTTATTTTGGAAATGTAGGCAATACACATCCTGTACAGCAAGATTAAGGGATCTTGCCCTTAAGACATCGTGCTGGTTTGGGGGATGTCAGAACAAACACGTTTTGTGAGGGTAGACCAGTTAGGGTCAGACTTAGCTTTGGGCGTACCTACAAAGTACGGTTGGCTAGCCAGACTTAATAGTATGAGTTGAAGGTATCTGTGGTGTGCTCTGCTGACATCAGTGGATGAAGAAGCTGTCTGATCTTAGCTGGCTTGGAAATGCAGCACTGCTCCTCTTCTTCTCAGGCCTCTGAAGAAAAGGAACTGCTGTAGGTGTTGTACAAAGGGTGAGCCCTGTGGAGCAACAGAGAAGCAGCAGGAGCTGTGTTAGAGGGGGATTTCTTGGTTCCAGGAGATTTTGCCAGCAGATGAGCTCTTGGAAATCTTTGAAGTTTATGACTGTAATCTGGTGGGCTTTTGGTTACCACAGCAAATTGGATGCTAGTTGGTTGTCCTTCCCTGTGCCAACTTGAGAACTGTTCTTTTCAGAGCACTCTTTCATCAGTTTGCAGAGCACTGCAGTCCCTGGGAGCATCCATCTTCACACAGCAGTGTGTTTACAAAGGATGGGATGAGCAGGGCTGTGTTCTGTTATGGGGACTTGAGAGCTGCTCTGTGCATATGCCCACATGGCAACTTGCTTTCTGATGGACTCTTGGGCTAAAAATCAACAGTGTGTTTTTCAAAGTGAATGTTATGCTCTTCCTAGAAAAATTTCATGCTTCAAAGCGTCTGAAGAAGAGAAAAACAAGCTATGATTTGCTTTTCCTTGAAATTTTTGACTCGTGGAACTGTGCTAGGTGTAGAACCAGACAGGGCTGCGCTGCTGAAGTTGCAAACAGCAGCTGGTGCTGTAGGTACTGGAGAGGGGAGTTGGGTAAGAGCAGATTTACCCCAAGTGCCCTTAAGATCAGCTGTTATCATGGCTAGTGATAGTTTTGGGGAAACTGGTAAGAGGTGAAATTGCAAGGTCTGTGGCATCCAGCTTGTAAGGAGTGGGGTTCCCATGAAGGCAGAGCGAATGCTGTTTTATAAGGTGTCTCCTTGGCTGATCCCCATGCTGACATTGTCATTGTTTGCACAAGTTCACTGTATTTGTAAGATAGCACTGCTTTAGTCACAGGGCAAAAGGTCACAATAGGTTTTGGTCTTTGCTTGTCCTGAATTTAGCTGTACATGTTGTCAGGTTTGTCCTTGATTGCCCATTCTCAAAAGCAACTTGCTTAAATGTCATTTTGCTTCTCCTTCTCTTGCCCAGCCTTCAAGTGCTGGAAAAGCAGGGGGGCTATTAGATCACTCGAATTGAAAAATCCACCTGTGGTGCTGTTGTTTGTGCCCTATGATATTTGTCTCCATCCTGAATGCTTTATGAATGTTCTGATGGCAGCTGCCTAGGCGGTGTCATGAGCAGTCTGCTTCTCACATTAATCACCAGCTGTGTAATGAGGCTTCTGCTAATAGCCAAATCATTGTCCCTGTTTCAGACTCTCTGGTGCTGGATTTTGTTGCTCCTGTGTTGTCCTGCCTGCCTGTGCTACCTGGGAGCAGACCTCCTTGAATCGATTGCTTCTAATTCCAATCCTGACTCCTGGAGCGTGCCACTGACCAGTCCTTATTATCCTGTGGGGTCTGTGGCTGGGTGTTATGAACTCCTCAATGTGAAGTCTGCTTTGGCAACAGCTGTATTTCTGTTTACAGCTGTCTCTTCACGAGGTGCTAGTGACTTCACCCCCAGAGCACAGCACCTGATGCTGATCTGAGCTGCTTTTTGCTGTTGATCTCGCAGTGTATTTGGTGCGTGGTTTTATCTGCCACCCTCTAGCTACCCCAGACATCTTCCAGCAGTTCCTGTCAGAAGTCCTCCAGCCCTGATTGCTTTCTTAGCAAGTCCCAAAGAGCTCAGGAGTTTGAGTCAGTTGGTATCTCCACTGTTTAGCAACCTAAATTCCCTGGTTAATACACTGCTATCACCTTGCAGGTTTTCTTGGACAGACATACTGAGTTGGTAGCTATAGCACTTTTATTTTTCCCCTATTGGCCCTTTTTCACGTGCATTCCAGGTTTCTCAGCATGTGCTGTGAGAAATATTTCTTCATCTTATTTTAATTGTCTTGTTCTGTTCATCCAGCAATCTGCAGAGCGCTGTGTGAGCACGCTGCTAGACCTCATTCAGACCAAGGTCAACTACGTCGTCCAGGAGGCCATTGTGGTCATCAGGGACATCTTCCGCAAGTACCCCAACAAGTATGGAAGTATTGCAGGGCTTTTGGAAACCTTTGTCTGCTAGCACCACAGTACAGCAAGGCAGAACCCTCTCAGCAGAGCTTAGCAGAGCACTGAGCCCGGGTGGCTGTCTTTCTGACAAGCAGTGTCTGTTCTGGTCCTAGCTGCTGATGTGATGCAGATGTCAGCTGTAGACAAGACACCAGCCTGACAGGTTGAAATTGAACTAGCTTTCTCCATCAGATGTTCTCTCTGGCTTGGGTAGCGCCCAGCTTATTTTATGCCTTCATGCAATAAGGTTTTGTTTCTTTAGCTGTAAAACAGTGCGGCAGTGTCTTTCAGCAGAGGTTTTGTGATCACCTAAAAAGTAATACAAGACATCTGTGGGTCTTTCTGGCAATTTCTGCTGTCAGTTACAAGATAGATTGTGTACTTACAGCAGGGATACCCACGCATGGGAACAGGGGAAGCAAAATAATTAGTGTGGGGTATTGTCTGTTTTATAGCAAAGCCTTTGGGGAGTATAATATCCAATTCTGGAGTTGCTAGTCTGAAGATAGTAGGAAGGCTGTAGGATCTGATACAGACTCATTTTGAACATTTGGACACTTGGATCAAACGTTCCCTTTAGCAAAATGGAAGGGGAGGCAGCTTTGTCTTGAGTACCACTTCTGGGTGGCCTTGCTGATTAAAGAAACTGCAAAGCCCTTGAGGATCCTGTGAGGTCCTGACACTCAGATTGGAAAAGGAAAAAGCCTGGGAGTATCTTCAATTGATTGAAAATGCTGCTTGTTTCATGTTGTATAGAAATACAGAAAATTGTAATTCAGTACAGGATTCTCTGCAGAATTGTGGGCTGAAATGAAGTAAACGTAAGTCGAGTTCACCCTGGTAATTCACGTGTACTCTGATAAATCAGGTATGAAAGCATCATTGCCACCCTGTGTGAGAATCTGGATTCCCTGGATGAACCAGATGCCAGAGCTGCCATGATCTGGATAGTGGGTGAATATGCAGAACGAATTGATAATGCAGATGAACTGTTGGAGAGTTTTCTGGAGGGCTTTCATGACGAAAGTACTCAGGTACAAATTGTGTTACATGTCTTATCTGTAGTGTTTCCTGTACTGTGTGTGTGGGACTGACTGCAAATGTTACTGCAGTGGTCAGAAGACAGCTTCCAATAAAAAGTTAAAGCTTTACCTAAAACAAAACCCTTGAGACAGAAAATCTGCAGAGTTCCCTAGATGTATTTTTTTTTGTGGAAGGATAAGACTGAACTTCCTGCATGTTGGATACTCCTTAAGGAATGGCCCTACCAGGGACCAGGACATGCAGAAGAATAGTGATGAGGTGCATCAAAGTGTGACATGAACCTCAGTGTTCTGATCAGGGTCTTGTTTGCAATGTGTTTTGCTATGGAGAAGAGTTTAAGTTTGATTTTACTGGATTTCCCTGACAGAAAATGATGTAATGTTGCAAAGCGTGGAATTTCATGCTAGCAAAGGATGTTGAGACCTGGGATACTTTAAAGCAGGCTGACTGATCTTCCTTTTGTGTTCCTTTCTCCTAGGTGCAGCTCACCCTTCTGACTGCTATAGTGAAGCTGTTCTTAAAAAAGCCTTCTGAGACACAGGAGCTGGTTCAGCAGGTCCTCAGCCTAGCCACACAGGTGAGCCAAGGTGCACAGTGAACCAAAGTCCTCCAGACCCTTTGCTGGTCTGCAATCCAGCATCTGCTAGACTGATCAGCTGGGCTGGTATATAGGGTTCAAGCATGTTCTCCTCTCTTCCCAAGGGGAGGGGCTTACCTCCATTTAAGAACTGCTCTGTGCCTGTTGCCATGCCATCTGGCATCTTCTGTCTGCTTCTTAGCTCTTACTTCATCCTAAATCACTCTCCATTCCCCAGCAAATGAAATGTTAGGGACAGGGTAGAGTTTTGAAAAAAACAGAATGCTTTCTTGAAGTTGGCTTGCAGTTAAAACATCTGCATCAATGACAGATGGAAAGGACCAGGCAAAGACTTTGTTCTGTGAACCACAGAGTTCAAGCAGTGCTGTAAAAAAAAAAAAATAATAATTTAAAAAAAAAAAATAAGATTTAGGTTTTTTCTTTGTACTTGGATGCCATCAGCCAATGTGGCAGCTTTGTTGGAGACTATAGCAGTAGGTTAAGATCCCAGATTCATTATGCATGAGGAGCTGTTTTGAGCACAGATCACTGCAGGTAGTTCTGGGCTTGAGCTGGCAGACAGAAGTGCTGTGCAGTTCTGGAGGACGGAAGCAGAGAGATTCTGGTGGCAGAAGCAAGCAAAACTCAAAGTGAACTTCCTACACTCTGTGGCTGTAATGACTAGGGCAGCACTGCAATGGAGTGCCCCCAAAAAATGATTTACTTTCCAGACATACTGTACCTCAACTGCTATGGATGAGTGACAACTGACTCCAGGTTTTCTGCTCCAGAGCATTCACCACTGGCCTTTTGGTTCTGTTTGTTGCAAGAGGTCATGGCTGTAATTTACTTACACTTCTGTTGGTGCTTTTTGGGGTGCTGCATTTGGCAGGGATAAGCAATCCAGCCTGATCTTTTGCTTAAGAGCATTCAAAATCTGCTGTAAGGAGACTCTGAGCTCTTCTTTGGGGAGGGATGGGCGAGGGGCCAGGTGTGCCATTTGTCTAAGCCAACAGAAGAAAGGTACTAAGTGTTAAAACCCACTCTGCTGAGTCACAAAATACTTAATGGCACCCTAGGACTACAATAGGCGTCTGTTTTTTCTCTGTTTGTCACAAATGTTGATTCAGTCTGGCTTCTTGTATTTCATATGAATAATAAGTCAACGTAGGATAACTGGCTGTAAAACACTAAAAAGCCTTATGCTTCAAGGTCTCATTTCTAGGTAAGATGCTGTTTTTTCACTTGAGTGGGAGAGTAATTACACGTGTGCTTCTTTCCCCAGCTTAGGTATTGTTGCACTTTGAGTGCCTCTCAGGGTATTGTCGGCACAGCAAACTGCAGGTGTGATTGTAGCAGAAGTCAGCTTAATCCAGCCAAGGCTGGCAAAAATAGCAATGAAGCAGCTGGGGGATGGGAGAGAGATGTGTAGCAGTGATCAAGATCCCTAGCAAGTTCTTAATCTAACAGATGGCGCTGACCTTCTGTAGCATTATTGCTGTTGTCCATCTGACATAGGTGGGTAACTAAGCTGTGGGTTCGTTGGTATGCACTGCAGGTGTGCATGCAGACCCTGGAGAGTGGAGAATTGGAAAGGAACAAGGAATGGAAAAATTGAAGCCACTTGTTCCAATAGATTTATCAAAGATGCAGGTCTGTTTACCTGGCTATAGGGGAAGAAACAGTTGATCTTGAGGCTGTATGTGCCTGAGAGTCAATAGGAGCAAGTGGTCATCTTTCATGTCAGCCCTTGCAGAGGCCTTGTCTGATCTTGAGCTGCGTGCTGCAGGCAGGATGAGGACATTCCTGTTGGAATTGCAAAGGACAGTAGGTGAAAGAGTTCATGACTCCGCCATCAAACTGAAAAACAGCACTGCAGAAAGATCTTTCAGTTGACCCAGACACTGCATCCAGGTCCTTGTGAGCCAGAGGAGTTTACCATGCTCAGCCTTATTACAAATAGAGGTTTTGCTGCGTGTCTGTGTATGCCTCGAGGCAGAGGGCAGAGGAGGAGGTTATAGCAGGTCAGCAGCGCTGAGTGAGATCACAGGAGAAGAAATAACAAGGAGGGAGGCTAATGAGCTGTAGGATATGTTAACAGAATTTTATAGGAATAAAAACCAGTTGCATTTATTCTGTTGTTCTACTGATATGGAGATTAAAAATCCCATTTCTTTCTTCAGTGAGCAGTTCAGACATTACACTGCAGCATAAACCCCATCACCTCCATATCCCTAGAACATTAGCTACCAGCTCTCACCTCTTGCTGCTCTGGGCAAAACTGTTTGTAAAGGAGAGCAATTAATTCATGCAAAGGCAGAATTATCTGCACTAAAACAAGGGTGTTATTGACAGCTAGAGAACTGATGTATCTTAACATTTATCATTATCTTCCCATATTCCAGTAGATAACTAAAAGGCAGGATAAGTAACATCTCTTTTGTTTTGGAGAACGCTGCTTATTAAGATCCATCCAGTAGCTCTGCTGTTTGTTTTCTTTCTCCAATGAATGCCCTTGGGTAAGTCGTATTTCTAGGAATCTTGAATCCTTCTGTTACAATACAAAGTACAGTATATTTACTCTTAGGATGTGACAGTTGTTTCAATTCATTGGTGACTGTCACTACTAAAATGGATGCTTTTTTAATTCATGAGGATCACTAGGAAAAAAAAAAATGAAGTGATGGCAGGCATTAGTGCCCATTAGAGCTGTGACTGGATGCGTTGCTCTGTCTCAGGATTCTGACAACCCAGACCTGCGGGACCGTGGCTACATCTATTGGCGCCTTCTTTCCACTGACCCAGTGACTGCCAAAGAGGTGGTCTTATCAGAAAAGCCACTGATCTCTGAGGAGACTGATCTGATTGAACCCACTCTGCTGGATGAGCTGATCTGCCATATTGGGTCTCTGGCTTCTGTGTACCACAAACCGCCCAATGCTTTTGTGGAAGGGAGCCATGGGATTCACCGCAAGCACTTGCCAATTCACCATGGAAGGTAAGCTGAGGTGGTAATGAGCAGGCCACTTGTTTCTTCTGAGCAAGCAGTCCAGAAGATAATGAGGGTCTGCTAAAGAACTCCAGTTTTTATTGATTATATAGTAGCTTATAGTCTGGAGCTTTAATGCTTCCTCGTAATGACAGTCCTGGAAGTGGGTTACATCTGCAAGAGCAGCATTACAGCAGTTCCAGGCTGTGGGGGTGTTGCTGTTGACCCTGTTCCCATGGTTCCTTGTTCAGGTAAGCACTGCTATTTGCTAATGGTATTAATTACAAATCTAAGTGTGCTTTACAGCGGGAGACAGAGCATCCAAGCTTACCTTTTAATAATGTTCACAAAGTGACATTTGGAATGCTATTTTTTGCTGTTTCACTGATAAATCAGTGTGCAGCGCTGCTCCTTTTCTATTTTCTGATCCCACTTCTCTGCTATTCTTAGCAACTAAAGCTATTTATGTAATATGATGAGAGTTGCTTTCTCCCTGCCTGTGAAATCGAGTCTGGCTGCACTGACCCAGGACCAGTGAACACAAGTCTGCCAGTCATAAATGCAAATGGTGTTTCCTCTCTTACTTGATTTGCCCTAGTGGTAAAAATAAGTTGAGTGTGGGTGGCTTTAGTCTCCCTTGTTACCAGCCTTTCTGCATGTTGTTCACTTGTCCACTAGAGATTGAGGTTCTCCTTCAGATTGAGCAGCTGCCTATGCAAACCTCTTTACAGAGATTCATTTTGTACAGAAAAATAGAAGCTTGGGATTTTGCTTGTAATACACACAGCCTTAGCTTTGTCCTTTCCTAATTTTTTGTTGGGCGGTTGGGCAGCTGCAGTTAAATAAGACCTTGGAGGGATTGCTTTACTCCATTGGCAGAAGGATGAGTAAGTGTTGAAGAGGTGTAGTGCTAAAGAAATTACATACTGGGAACAAACCAAGTGTGTGTGCTGCCGGCTCGTAATGTGCCTCTGCTCATACATGCTGTTCTTTCCCGTTCTCTGTTTGGGGGTGGGAGTGGAGCACAGTAACCACTCTTCAGAACTGTTTTAGCTAGCTGCTCAGTGTACTCCAAGTCCCTGTAATATTGGTACCATTAAGCATCTAAAGCTTCTAATGCAAAGAAGCTTTCAGCCCTCCCTGTCACTGCCTGGTGGGTCATTCATTCAGCACTCCTTATGCTGCATCTTTTTCTCCTGACGCTGGAGTTGGTAGAGGCTTAAACAAGCTAAAGCTTCCCCTCAGTAATGAACAGGGATAAGGAAGGGGATCGTGGCTTCTCAAAGTCAGGAGCTGCAGTCCTTACAGAAGAGCTGCAGTGTTCAGCACCTTGCCAGTGCATTAATTCCCACAGCACTGCTGTGCAGTTACCTGCTGGCTGCATCCGCAGTGGTGCAAGCTGGCAGTAATGCTGTCAGTTACTGCTGGCAGCAGGACGCAGTGGGTTTGAGATTATCTAGACTATTAGAGTCTCTGGGTTTAAAGAGAAATATGTTGCAGTGAGCTGTCTGGGAGCTGCCATGAGGCTTAGTATTTTTCCCCTCGTTAAATCCTGTGGCAAACGAATATAAAGTGTAGCCAGACTGCTTATGGTGAGAAACTTCAGAATCTGTGTAAGAGGCACTTCTAGTAATTAACATGTCTGCTAATGCAGAGAAAAAGAAATAGGTGGTGGAAGGGAAATACCAATTCTAGATTGAGATATGTAATTAGGAAACAGTGGAGCTTGGTGTTGGTCAGTGGAAGGAGATAAATCCAGATCTGTGGGGAGCGCCTGGGTTAGCATTGGTTGGAGTAAGGGCATGAGGGTTTTATCAGTGTTAGGTCTCAGAAGAAACTGTGTTATTTTTTTTTTCCCCAGGTTTACATGTAGTTCTCCAGGCCCACTGGGCTAAAAATCATCTCTGTGGGCTTTTCCTGAGTTGGGAAATAGTTGTTTTCAGTGCTGTAGTGTGTGTAGTACGTAAGACTCATGATTTTGGAGAGGTCTGGGATTCTGCAAGTAGGCAGCATTTCACACTTAAATTCCCTTTTCTGAACTGAAGCCCATGCACAATGCGTGGCTGGTCCTTGTGCTCAAGGACTTGATGTGCTAAATAACAAGTTGCTGTAACACATCTTGTACATGGCAGCGGTTAGACGGATGGCCAGGATCATCCTGTAGCTGGCTTTTCTTGTGAGCCCACCTCTAGATGTGCTTTCACCATACTGGAAATCAGAGACCAAAGGCGACTTAACATCACTCTTCTTGTCCTTCCTGCCTGCAGCACTGATGCAGGAGACAGCCCTGTGGGGACAACAGCCACAACAAACCTGGAGCAGCCTCAGGTCATCCCATCGCAAGGCGACCTGCTGGGTGACCTGCTCAACCTGGACCTGGGACCCCCTGTCAACGTTCCCCAGGTGTCCTCCATGCAGATGGGTGCTGTGGACCTCCTGGGAGGAGGGTTGGACAGCTTGGTAAGCAGCATGCTCTTTACATTCAGCCCGTGTGAAATAAATGGAGCTTGTGCTCATCTCTGCAAAGCTTCGATCACTTGTGCTTGTAATGCTTGGGTCCTTAAGCTTCCAGTGCTGAGATCTGTAATTCCAAGAGAATTGAAGCGGTGCTCTTGTACCAACTTTCAGCAGGTTTTTCCTGCTGTAAAATGAACGTTGCTGCATGCAGCAGAATCTTCATGCCAGGAAATAAATTTGTTTCTCAAGCTTTTTTTCTGTCTGTGGAGAAAAACTGAAGTTGTTTTAAAGTTGTGAAGTGTCTCACTCTCTTGTAATTAATTTTGACTCCCTTTTAAAGTCCACCCAGTTCCCAACTCCACTGAATTTCAGTGCCAAACTCCCAGGGCTGTCAGCCATAGCCCTTGGTCACCCCGTTTGTATATCCTGTAGATTGTCGTGGCTCAGTATCAGTAACATCTTAATTGCAGTTAGACTGTAAGGAAGCACTCTGCCTAGCCCTCCCCTTGCTACAGCAGCCACGAGGAGGTATTCAGATACCTAAAAGGGTCAGGTCTCAGAGTATAAATAATCATGTTATGTCTGCTCTGTGGTGTGAGTTGGGAATAAGCTGCAATGAGAGGATCTGTTAGCAGGTAACAGCTACAGTGGAGAGGAGATGAGTGGCAGCCAAGCAGGAGGAGGTGGTCAGTGTAATCACAGCCTGGGACAGTGGAACACGGCTCCTGTAGCAGCCTGCTGGCTTACCAGTGTGGTGAGAAGCAGGATAGCTGTATTTGCACCATGTAACCTTAGTAAAACTACCTCATTGAGCACAGCTTTCAGACCTGCAGTGGATTTGTCTTGTGTGAGGTTTGGCTTCCAGTGGGCTGAGTTGGATTAGCTGTGCACTGTGTTCAGATGCACTTTCAGGTCTGAGTCAAGCTCTGTCTAAGAAGTGGGAGACAGCTGGATGAACCCTGATGCAACAAATTCCTTTTTGCCCAAGACTTTTTTGTAATCTTCAGCAATCAGATTAAAGCAGACGTTAAGCACACCTCCAGCTCTGATGTTTCATGAGCTAATGAACTGGAAGCAATCTAACCCATAATGGCATTGGTGTTCACAGAGGTCAGATGTGCTTTGGTCTCTGTGCCATCTGCACAGCATCTTGGAGATGTTCTTTCCTCCTAGGGGTTGAAGATTAGGGAGGGAAACTTGCAGCTGATGTTGCTGGGAATGCAGGCAGCACAGGGCAGTGACTTTTGCAGCCCTTGCCCTGCATTGTGACAACTGCCACTAAGAAATTGTGGGATTTTTATTTGTATTAATGCATTGCAGAGAAAGACCAAGAGTTAAATTTATCTGTGCTGTCCTCTAAGCTCTCTCTTGTACCCCATTGTTTCTCAGTATCAGAGACAAATGAATGCAGCAGAAAGACTACAGCTTGGTTTTGAGAAAAGGTTTCTCTATCAGCTGGCATTAATGGGCTTAATTCAGTTGACCCACTTTGGCAGAGGAGCTGTTAGTTGATGTGATAGGCTTTTACTTCATGTTTTTCCCAGGCTTTAAGGAAATTGATGGGGCTGGGGGATGTGATCTACCAAAGTGACTGTTTCTGGACAATGCAGTGCCTGGGGTTGTGTGTCAGCACTCTCACAGCTGCGTTATTAGATGGGGACAGCAATGAAAAAAAAAAAGTCTGAATGATGTTTTTTCCTCCAGAATGCTTTTTATTGCAGAGCTGTTGGATCACATGTCCTGTTTTCTCCTTATCCTTTGCGTGTGTAAGTGAATCCTGTCCTGATGTATCTGTTTTTCTCTGGCTTTTTGTTCCCTAATAACCTTGGTTTGTGGGGAAGTGAATATAATCTGTCTTTGTTTATTGCTGTGGACATGTGTTTAAAAAACACCAAGCTGAGTTCTCCCAACCCAGTGCTAACGAAATTGCTAGGCAGCATCTCTGTGCTGCTTGACTAGCCAAGGGAATCCACGCTTGGATCTTAGCCTGATATTAGACTGGGCTTGTACAGCCCCAAAAGAGGGCTCAGAATGCACGTAGGCACATGCCTGACTTGTGCATGGGGTGTGAGTGGGTTGGGTGTCCTCAGGTGTTTTCTGGAAGAGAGCTGAGCTCTTTGTTCTTCTCTTGGAAATAAAAATGGCCAGGAACCAGGGATGGTGGGCGCCTGAGCTGCTCGTGCAGGCAGTGAAGGGAGCTGGAGCCTGAAATAAGTTCTTCCGTCTTCATCAGTGTTGCATTACTCCTGAAGATTTTTCCAGATGCGTTTCCTTTCTCTTTGTCAGAAGACTGAGCACAGCGCCCATTCCTCTGCATGGAGCAGTGTGAGCAGTCTCCTTGCCCAAACCAGAAAGAGTTTATTTCTATTTGGGTCCTTGTGCTGCAGCAGAGTAATCCCATTGCAGCTGCTGTCCTCTATGTGTGCTCCTTTGGCCCTTCTTTTTCCATCCCTCTTATCACCTTAAAGAAGAGTTCTGGAACCAGGCATGGAAGGATGCTGAGCAAAATTACGATCAATCCCAACAGGATTGTGTGTAGAGTTGTTTTTAAGATTCCTGGTGATGGAGTTTGTCACCTCTGCTGTCAGTCTCAATTTTCTGCTCATCATGAGCTGATCCTTTTTGGATCTCAGGTGACCTGAGAGGAGATAAAGGAATACCATTGAATACAATGGTGTTCATACCATAGCCTGAGTTGGGGGCACGCATTGAGTGACACACAAGAGCAGAGCAATTCTCAGCCCTGCTTGTTCCTTGCAAGAAAGCCTAAATAAGCCACTGTGTTAGAGTGGAAGAAGAAAACTGCTTGGGATGTGCATGAAATCATGGTCTGCTCCAGCAATGGTGAGATTGCGTCAGTACTGCGAGTGTCACAAAGGCAGCTGAAGGTCTGGACGGGGCTGCAGGCTCACAGCCAGTTTGTCACATTCACTCAGTGTCATGTGTTGAACCCTTGGATACTTGTTGCAGATCTTGTGTATTTCATCATGCTTCCTTTTCTTCAGAGAAGGCGTCTGTCTTCAGATGCCAAAGTCCCAGCGAGGCTGACTCAGGAAGGTCAACAGAAGCATTAACTTCCACTGCAAATATCATTCTGCATTTCTGCTCCTCAAACTGTAGGGTTTTGTGTTGCAGGCATTTGAATGGAGTCTGCATGCTGTAATACTGGGTAAACAGCAAGTTTGTACTGTTTGCTTTTTTTTAACTCAGGACTGCTAGGTTCTTGTCCCCATGACCAGCCAGCTGCTCGGTAGGTTAGCTTCTTTAGTGAATACCTCATTCTTCATCTCCATAGTGAGTCCTGTAATTAAATGTGCATATTGTGCATGCACAGATGCTGAGCATGTGTTAACAATTTAAAAAAAGAGGAAAAAATGTGCCTTTAGTACAAGAACAAGATATGCTTTGTTTATAACCAGACTGGCTACACAAATTTTGGAGAGAGAGTGCTGTTCTGTAGCAAGCAGAGCCAGCACTGAGTGTGTTCCAGGTTGTGCCCTTGTCAACCCTGCACAGTTCTTGTTTTTCCTCTGCTTTGCTTTCTTTCCTGCATAACATTGACCAAGCCCACTGTTGCAAAGCTGCTTGAGATCTCCAGCTCTTGGGCAGCAGACTGAAGGATGTGGAAGTATGGATTGTGATGCTCTGTCTCCTTGAAGCCCATCCCGATGGCTGTGCTTCATGCAGACTGCAGGCAGTGCTCCAGCTCCCAGTACATTCTTGATGCAGCCCTTTATAGGATAGCACTGCAATGAGCCAAGGTCATTTTGTCTTCGAGCCTTTTCATGTGCTCATTTGCTCTGAAAACCAGTGGGCACGAGAGCTGTGCTGCGTGGCATGTCATGCAGTGAGCTGAGTGCTTAGCAGGAGCTGGCCACCATGGCAAGGAGCCAAAGGGGCTGGCTTGGAGCTCGGAGATGGAGCAGTAAATCTGTAGGAATGGACAGGATTGGATTGTCTGTTATGTAAGGATTTTATTTAATACTCCAACCGCTCATCTACAAGAATATTATTGATTCAAAGCTGGCAGCTCCTGAGATTGAGTTATGTCCTAAATTGTAAAGCTATTTGATAAACATTGGATAACCAGAGGTTTTTTTTTCTGTAATACCTGGGCTGCCTCAATAATTTTGGGCCATTCTAGGTGGAGCTGTAACTCTCTGCAGTCAGGTTGGATATTGGAGGTGTGATCCCAGTTGCCCCTTCTGTGTGGCTGTATCACTCTAAAACTGCCTGGAAGAGGTTGTGGTGGGGTGGGGGTTGGCCTCTACTCCTAGGTAACAGCAACAGGACATGAGGTGATGCTTTAAGTTATGTCAGGGCAGATTCAGGTCAGATATTAGGAAAAATTTCTTCCCAGAAAGAGCAGTGATGCATTAATACAGGGAGGTGGTGGAGTCTCCATCCCTGGAGGCGTTTGAGAACCATAGAGATATGGCATTTGGACATTGGCATAGGAGTGGATTGTTGTGGTACTTGGTGATCTTAGTGGTCTTTTCCAACCTTAATGATTCTATGGTCTATTGCTTCATTTACCTTCTGGAACTACAGCATGGCCCTGCCAGGTCAGACCCACCGTCTGTCTCTATGCAGTGGATGCATTGCTTCCCCAGTGTGCTCCTCAGCCTCTCACAGTGAACTGAGCCTTTCATCCAGGCTGTTCTGGTTGGGTCAGCTCCAATGGACATCTGTGAGGATTTCTGAAAAAGGGCACATGTCCCTTGCTGGAGCACTGCTAATATATGCTAATAAGGAGCTCTTCTGGTGGGTCACTTATTCTAGTCTTACTGAAAGCTATTCAATTTGTTGTAGACCTTTGGAGAGTTGCTTTTTTACATATTAGGAAATATAAATGCTTAATACTTAGTTTTATTGTTGATGGAAGCCGTTCTGCAAGGTGAGGCATTAGCAGTGAGTGCTACTGAAGCTGGTGGCTGAGATTGGCAGCATGGTTGGTGCTCCACCACCTTTGAGGCAGCTTGGTCCTGCTCTGCAAGAAAACAGACAGACAAGAGGCAGCATGCAAGATACTGAAAATGTCTGTGAATGAACCACAGCAGTGTGTGCAGTGAGATACCGATCTGCAGCCCACCAGCAGTTCAGAGGGTGCACTCCATGACTTATTTTTTGTTCAGTGAATGCCTTGTATTCTTTGCTGTGATGTGACTGAGTGCACGCTCAGCTGCTGGAGTTTAACGCTTGGTTTGGAGTGCAGAGGAGCGAGGAGGCAGCGATTGTCTCCTTTTAACCCATGAATTATGGCTCCATGAAACACGTAGCTGCTCCCACAGGTCTCTCTGCAGTGCGGATACACGCTGGTCCCTGTGCCATGGGTGGTGCAATATCTGTATGTGGCTCCACCCTCCCCTATTATTTTGGAGCTTCAGATAGCTCACATCGCGTTGCAGAAGTGATCACAACCCCTCTGGATCACATGAACACTTCAGCAGAGCCACTTCATTACAAGCTACTGTTAAGATGCAAATAAACCCTCCTGATGCAGTAACTCCAGCAGTGCTGCACTTCATAAGTCAGCATAACTGTCTGTATGAGCAGGAATTGCTGGGGTAGATGCTCTCTAACTGCAGAACAGCCACAGCACCATCTGAGTCAGCCAATGTGGAGTGAAGTGCTGGTGCTGTCCTGGTGTTACGGGGCTGGCCTGGCCCACAAGGCTGCTCGGATGCTGTTGTAGCACAATGGTTTGTGGAGTTGTGGTGGTACTACAGAAGATGCCCTCTTGGAAGGGCTTTGTGTGCCTGGTGACCAAGGCTCTGTGCTAGTCCCCTGCTTATTGTCACAAACAGAGGCACTGTGCTCTTTAGCAGGAGGCAAGCTTGCCAGCTTGGGCTTAGGGTTGGGGTTTTGTAGGGCTGCAGGCTGCCCACTGACTGCCATCCTGGCACGGAGCAGCAGTCCTCCTCCACCCTTCAGGGCTTACAGAAGCACTACTAATGCAGTCCTCTCCTCCTGGTGAATGGAAATGGTTAAGCAGAGCTGCCAGCCCTTGGGAATCAGTTCAGCAGTGCTTTTTGCCTGACTAATAGCTGCTCCTTCCCTTCTGCACCCTGCCTGTCACCACAGATGGGAGAGGACGCTCCATGGGTAATTGGTTCCTGTTCCCTCTGTCCTCCTCCTTCCCTCTTACTCATGTCACTGTTATGGTCTTCACTGTCATTGGAATCTGGAGTAAAGTTAGCTCTGAGGCCCTGACAGGGAAGAGTGAAGGCTGGCAGCTAATTTGAAGTATCCTGATATGGCATTGCTTCCATCCCTTGCAGTGAGCACTCACAAGCCCAGTGTATGGGTTTCTTTGAGGTCGAGTTCCTAGCCTGCAGCCCCTTGTGAGTGCAGTAGGAAGTGGTAGAACAGTTAACATCCTTCTCGATTATGCTGAATTATTCAGTCATTTTCATAATACCCTTTGTGAAATGCTTGCTGCTTGATAAACCAGTCTTTCTCCTGCCTCGAACAGTACCAGAAATCCTCCATGCATACAGTAATATCTGGAAATGAACTGGATTATTTACTTTTTTCCTCTGGACTTTGCTGCCTGTCAGCACAGAGTGTGAAGTTCATTGTGCTGAAGACTGAATAGAGATAAGGTGTAATCGTTGCATTTATTACTCCTCAGTGAGCCAGTAACAAGGTGTAAATGATCTGATCTATTCATCTACAACACGGCTTGGCTTAAGAGCAGCCTGCAGAATGTGGCTCTGCTGTGCCAGGCTGCTCCAGTAAGACCTGACAGTGTAATCAGTGCTGTTTTATAAGCTTGGTATTAATTGGATTTGAATCCTCTGGCTGGCTTTCTGTGCTTCTCTTGACTTTGGAATCGCTCGTTCTTATCTGTCATCCCTTAAGCAAGCAAAGGGACCTGGGACTTGTGCACCATGAGAGGATGGCTGTGGAGTTGTAAAAGATGAGGGACCTCTGATAAACTCCTGCTGTGACCCCAAGTAGGGATAAGCTGAGACTCACAGGGGAAGGAAAGAAACTATTAAGACTTCTGAATAAAAGACAAACTGTGCGTGATTTGTGCTCCTCTAGCACCTTACAGCTGTTAAAGTGCTTCAGGTGGCTTCTATGGGGAGCAGGGGAAGGAGGGAGATGTCGGGGTGGAAAGGAATCCAGAACAGTGCAGGGATTCATCAGCTTTTATGTGTGTTTTGGTGCTGGTAATCTTTGCTGCTGCTCTCGGGGTGTTTTATCCATTTTATCTGTGCTCTGAGAAATAAGTACAAAGCTTTATGGTATCTCTTGACCAGTGTAAAATGCATTGCCACGAGATATCTTAGAGAACAGCCTGCAAAGCCCAGAGCAAAACTGAGTTTCCAGGTTTTTACTGCAGAAGGGAAAGGGTTGGGACCTTTTTGCCTCAAAGCACATTGATCCTGAAAGTTCCTGCTTTATGTTGTTTCACACTTTTTTCCCTCAATCTTTTATACCATCAGTGTATGTTTGAACTGCATACTGGAGCCCTTTGATGGCCCAGTTTGTCAAGTGCTCTTTTAAAACAAGCAGCCACCCCGAATCTCGTGGACACCCTGATGAAATGGAAGGGCAAAGCTACCTATGGGGCAAGCCATGCTGCTCTGGCTTCCAGTCCAACCCTCTCCCCCATCTCACTTCCCCTCTTCTTGCATGGTGTCAGAGCACGATCTGTGTCCAGATGTGACAAAAACTCTACTTGGTTTGTACTTGTACTACCATGGTCTCGTGCAAAATCCTTGGATGAGTCTGGAGATGCCTCTGTAGGGAACAACTGCTGCAGATCTGTGCATACAGTGGTGTGGATGTGTGAAAAATGGTGTTCTGAGAACGTGGCCCAGGTGGTTTTTTTGAAGTGTGTTTGTAGTAGGACAGCTGCAGGTTGGCCTGGAAGAAGGGCTTCAGAGAGGATATGGTGTGTATGGAGGATGTAAAGTAGCTATTTCAGTTGCCTCCAAATGTGTTTGCGTAGCTTGGCAGACAGCATTACCAAAATATCCCAGTGCACAGTAAGGTCTCTGTGCTATTCCAGTGGCCCATTAGATAGCGAAGCTGGTTTTGTCCTCTCCAAGGGAGGGACAGCAGTCTTCAAAGGGAAACCAAAGCTCATCGAGCTGGGCTTCTGTAATAGCAGCTACAGCCCTTTCTCTTTGTTCCCAGCTATTGGGAAAAAAAAGAAAAAGCAATTGAGGAGAGAGACATCCCTGAGACCTGTTGTGTTTTTTCTGTCATTTGTGGCTCTTGTCTAGAAAACCACAGCTTTCAGGAAGCAAGCTTCCTGTCAGTTTTATTTTTATTCCATTTCACAGTTACCCCACTGGGTTTTATAGAGCTGTGGGTTGAAGGGAAAGCATTGATGCACGAGAAGGGAAGAGCTGCGCAGTTTGTTGCGTGGATGACAGGCGTGAGAGAGGATGAATTTTGGTTTTGTTAACCAGGAAAATGCTTCTTGCTGCAATATGTGTCTGGAGGTAGATTTCTAGCAAGCTCTGCTCGCAAAACAGCCCTGAAACCCCTCTGTTCACTGTGCTTTCCCAGCATTGCATTTCTGTCTGTCCTGTACACAGCAACAGTGCGGGTGGGAGCTCTGCTCCGGCCCTCTGACACTGGCTCTACTGACCTCTGTCTGTCTCTCCTCTCTCTCCTTCTCTCTTTCAGCTTGGCAGTGACCTTGGCGGGGGCATTGGAGGAAGTCCGGCAGTAAGTGCCATTCCATTTTTTTCCCCAGTTTAAAAAAAAAAGCTGCAGAAAGCCCAGGGGGTTTTTAACTACACCCTTACCCACTGTGTGCAGGAAGATGCTTAAAGCCCTGAAGATGTATGCGAATGGAAACTGCAGCCAAACCTACAGGTCCCAACCGATGTTGCTGCCATCTGGGCTCTCCTGAGAGTCACTGGGGCCAGAGCTGCTGACTTTGCTTAGCTCTTCTTTCTCGGAGCTTTCAGCTTGAGCCCCAGCATTAACATGGCAGTACCCTGTCCTTAAAGCTGGAAGGCTGAGGCTGCTTACTGCTCTGCTCACACAGCTCTAACCCTAACCCAGCGCACCACAGCCTTGTCTGACCTGAGCAGCTCCATGCTTTCCTCCTCCCAAAAGCCATGTGTGACTTTTCTCAGAATATCAGGGCTTGGTATGCTCTGAGCATACCACATGTGGCCAGTGCTGTGCTCTGCCTGACAGAACTCTGGCTTCCTTTTCTGTCCTAGTGCCTTGAGCCCAGGACGCTTCCAGGCTGCTTCAAAGCACTCTTAGCTTCAAATACATACCAGCTTCTTCTAGGAAAGCATGGGAAAGCGATGCAAAATGACAAGAGAACACAGCAGGCAGGAGGGAGCGTGCCTCCAACCCATGGTCAAATGCAACCTCCTGGAGCAAGCTCCACTCCCTCCTCCTAGCACTGCATAGAAAATGAGAAAAAATGTGCTCAGTTCTGGAAGGAGGGCCCTTGAGATACTGCTTGTGGCTGCAGTCATTCTCTCTCCTTCTTTCCCTGTGAATCTTGTGTTCCTGTCTAACTTTACCATGAGAGCAGAGGACAGCCTGTGGCATGGTTTGTGCTCTGGAATGTGGGGGCTGTTTGCTCTGCAGAGATCACCCCTACAAAGCCAGGTCTCTGCCTTCCTGAGCCAGCACAAACCCACCACCCAGCTCCGTAAATCCATCCCTTCTCCCTGTCCAAAGCATTGGTTGAGAAGCCACATCTCAGGTAGGTTCCCAAGCACAGCACAGAAGTGAGATTTCAGACCCATCATGAATATCTCCTGCTGCATGCCTTGGTCATTCTGCTTGTTCCTGGGCTGATAACTGTGGTGAATCCTATCCTCAAGCACTTAATTCTTCTTTCTCTCAGTAAGATAACTTGGAAACTTGACTTGAGCGTGACTGTCCCACTGGGAATTGGGACCTCCTGTTAAGTCCTGGGGGAAAGGATTGCCCTTCTTGTAGGCACGGTGTCCCTTGGTGGGCAGAGACCACTGATTTTGCTTCATGAGTGAATCTTTTGAACCACAGTGCTAAAAAAGCAGAGCTCTGACTTTGGGTGGGAGTATGTAACGTGGTTTTGACTCCCTTTTTATCTCTAGATATGCAAAATCTTGCAGATTCCTGAGGAATGTTATAATTGGAGGAAGATTTGAAGCATCTTGTCTTTTTCCTGGGCTTGTGTAGCATAGATCTGTAAAGCTCACTGTCTTTTTAGGCTGGAGCAATGAGGAATAAAGATTTCTTTATGTTGGGAGTAGATAACTGGAACTATAAAAATGATGTGAAAGCTATTGCGTGGTTGAGGTGACAGCTGGATGTAGGGATTACTTGCCGAGAGCTTTGGAGTTCAAATGCATTACTTAGCACTGTTGATAATTCAGTGGGGAAGCTGCAAATGGCTTTAAAATATGTAGGATATTGCCCAAGTTCATGCTTTATTAAGTGAGTGGTGTTCTTTGTATGTGGTGTTAATTGTTGGCTGTTCTTTCTAACCCGTCCAGGTGGGGCAGACCTACATTCCCTCTTCTGTGCCAGCCACTTTTGCCCCTTCACCCACCCCAGCCGTGGTGAGCAGTGGACTCAACGATCTCTTTGAGCTCTCATCTGGTATAGGCATGGCTCCCGGAGGATATGTGGCTCCCAAATCTGTACGTAAGGAAAGAGAACAACCTCAGTATGTTGCCCTCCCTTAGGCAATGGGGACTGAGGCTGCTCGTGTCCCCTTTGTTGGTTTGTAGTGCTAGTAGAGCACCTTGGGTTCAATTTTGTCCCATTAGGGACAAAAATTCTTTGTTTTTCATGGGCAGAGCAGTGGTTTGTTGGAGATGACATTAGTCACAGAGCTCTAGTTTTTTATTCCTTCTTTTTGCCTGTGACAGTATTACTCTAAAGATTGGCCCATAGAAACTGTGAGAATCCCAGTTTTGTTGGAGACCTACTTCCCAGCAAGCTTCCCCAGGAAAATGAGGGCAGGATACCATTTGCTACAATTTTCCTAGAAGACTCGTTTATTTGGAGGAATTGAACATGACACTGCAGATAAAAATCACATACTCGGGATGAGCACTCCACAGTGTAATGCAGATAAATGCTCTATTAGACAGAGATTGCAGATGCTTAGTCTGGAGAGTTCATTAGCTACAGAGCGTGGTTCTGGTAGCAGGCTGCAGAGCAGCCACAGGGAGCTCAGGGTTGGCCCTTTCATGCCTCAAAGGGAGTAAACAAACATTTGCACTCATTAAATAGCCAGTGGTTGAATCAACTAAAATTACCCTATGGGATCTAGAATCTTGGACTACTGCAAAGCATCTCAGTCCTGATCTGCTTGCAGGTTACATAGCGTATCAGACCAGGTACAAAAAATCCCCGTAGTTTTGAGTGAAGTATTTCTTTTTGAACTGCTCAGATTTTCTGAAATCTCTTGTTTCAGGTTTGGTTGCCTGCAGTGAAAGCTAAAGGACTGGAGATCTCAGGCACATTCAGTCATAGGCAGGGACACATTTACATGGAGATGAACTTCACCAATAAGGCTTTGCAGCACATGACTGACTTTGCCATTCAGTTCAACAAGAACAGGTAAGAAACCAATATGCTTTATCTGCTATCTTAAAAAAAACAAAAATTGCATGTTCTTATGAAAGGAGTCTGTCTTCTGGAGAGCTACTACTCTCCATTACACTGCCATAGTTGAGAGCTGAAAATACACACTGGTATGGTGGTGTTCAACTGTGCTGGCACTGCTGCCTCATGCATCCATTAAGCAAACAGGCAGCAGACAGTCCCATCATTCTCCTGGCTTGAAGCAGCATCTGCCCTGTTTAATCTCTCCAGAGTTTTAAAGCCACCTTTTGTGTTGTTAGGCAGGTAAGTGGCTTTATAGCTACTAAGTGCCCTGAGGAAAGTGAGAGAATAAACAGACAAGCATCTGAGCTGCACAAATACTGATCCCTAATGCCTTTGCCTCCTGACTTAATTGCTATGCTGCCCCTCAGACTGTCTGGAAGTGCAGGTCTCATTAATAAAGCTATTTGTCAGTGGAGAAGTTGCAAAGTAAGAGCCTATGGCACGTGTTTTCCCTGTAATTGGCAGCGAAATGATTTTTGCTAGGAGCAGCCACTTGAGTGCTTAGAACATACAGATTGTTCTCAGAAATGCATCCCAGCCAAAAGACGTGACATGGTGCCTCCCCACTGCCTTCCCAAAAATACCTTTTCTGGTCACAGGGCACGCAGCTGCTTTCTTGTAGGTTGTGAGCAGCACATCAAGGCCCAGGATGGTTCTCATCAAGGCTGCAAAGAGGATCTTGTGACTGAGATGCTTTGCTGGTTCCTTAGGAGCCCTTCACAGGAAAAGGACTTTCTATAACTAAGATCTGCTGGAACCATCTCTTTAACATCATCGTTAGCCTTGCAAATTTAGGATTTCTTGGGACGAATAGTATTTACTTATAACAGACATTATGCTAAGTAAGTCAGTAAATGTTCTCCCTGGACTGCTATATTTTCCAGAGAGTTTTTGCTAAACTGCTATATGCAAATGTTTTGTGCAGATTGGTCTTTAAAAAAAAAAAAAAGATTTTGCTTTTGATTTTCCCTATACATCAAACTGTGTTCTAGCCATACCTACGTGGTGGTGCTTCTCAAGGATGTAAGAAGTTTAAATACTGTACAGTAAAACAGCAGTTTCTCCTTTTGCATCTTATCAACACATGCTCTGTATGTTTTCTACTACTGTTTACTCTTCTACAAATGCTGTTCTCCTGTCACTGCTTTCCACTCTGCCTGGTGCATTGGAAATAACTGCAGTGAGCTGTCTCTTTGGGTGTAAACATTGAGGCTTGTGATTGGGAAGTTTCTATTGCATTTCTCCCTTTCCTGCTGCTACTAATTGCATTCACTGCAGTCCTGGGATAAAAGATAGGGGATAGAAACAAGCAGCTAGACCTCTGGTGTGCTGTAATATCACAGCCACTTAGTAGGAAATGCAGCTTTCTTTCCTCTCAAAGAATAAGGGAAAACACCAGGGTTTATATCTCCTAAGGTGAAATGGCTGCAGATGGCAATTGTCATGGCTGGGTCCTCTCTGAAAGCATTCTCTTCTCAGCTTCTTAGAGCTGAAAACTAAGAAAAACCAAGAACAGTGCATCTGCTGGTATCAGAAGGAGAAGCAAGCGTCCTGTATGTCTGCACTGCTGTTTGCCTTTGAAAAGAACCTGCACTGTCAGATTGTACAAATTCTTATGTTAAATGTTAGCTGCTTTCCCTCTTCTGCTCTAAATTGAGGTGCCTGCGGAATTAAATGCAGCTTGGACTGAAGAGGCAAGTAAAGATTTGCTGTATGGTGATGTGTGACCCCAGCTGAAGGAGCCTCAACTCAAACCAAGCATTAAAGCCAGGATTAAGTCCAGATGCTGTCATTAGGGACCAAACAGCTGGCTGCATTGATTAATTTGTTCTACAGTGCTCTGTTGTAAACCATATGTTCCTCCTTGGTTATGTTATTTGTTTGGTATTGGCTTCAATTCTTTCTTCTATAGCTTCCAATGGTTAACAGCCATACAGAGAGCCTGGAGGCCCGAGCCTGACGGATGCCATGCAGGTGGTAGAACTGTTTCCAGATGTGGATCCTCTGGGCCAGGTGCATGCTGTCAGGGAGACCACCAGATTGGTTTTCCTTTGCCTTGCACTGCTTTGAGTATCTGCCATGATGCTTGTTGTCAGCTGTGCTCCTTTTTCTGGAGCAACAGCAAGGGCAGCTCAGGAAGAAACGGGGCAGTCCAGGAAGAAGTGAGCCAGCTCAGGCTTGGTAAAAAGGGAATAGGTGTTGGGACAGCACCTGGATTTCTTCCTCATAGACTGTCTCCAGCAGTGCAGTGCTGCTGTCATCATCTCTGTTTTTCTCTTGCCCAGCTTTGGGGTCATCCCAAGCACTCCATTGGCCATTCACACCCCTCTGATGCCAAACCAAAGTATTGATGTCTCTCTGCCCCTCAACACCCTTGGACCAGTCATGAAAATGGAGCCTCTGAACAACCTCCAGGTAAGGATTGTCTCCTGGGCAGGGGTGGATCTGCAGCTGCTCAGCCCTGATCTTTGGCCCAACACAGTGTGGTAACCAAGCCCCACATGTATAGGGCAACCAGGTAGAGCCAGAAGGTTGTGTGAATGTTGGCCACGAGCCTGGCCAAATCTTTTTTCCTTTTCCTTCCTCTGAAAGAAAACTTCTGGGATTTTGCGACTTGCCTTTTCAGATGCCTCAGAGCCACTGCTTGCACTTTGTTCTGCTCCAGCAAGGCACTTGTGTGAACAGATTGCAAAGTTTGGTTGGGCTTAGAAATTGGAGCTGGTCTGAACAGAGAAAGCCTGGTCTGGACCTAAGGTTGTCTGCATCAGTTCTGGCATGCCTTAGTGGTCTTGCCCGAGCTGCTGTAGCTGAAGCACTCATTGAGCAGATGTGATCCTCTCCTGGAAGGAGGCTGTTCCCCATTCCTGTTGCATGCAGGCACCTGGCAGTCAGACTCCATGACCACTGTCCCTGTTTGTGGAGCTGGCTCCTCCAAGATGAATTTTCCTTGTATCCCAAGGGTGCAGTTAATTGCATTGTAGCATGTTTTGCTTATGTCGTATCTACAGGAGCTGGGAACTGGGTTGGGTTCCTGTAACGTAGCAATCCACAGAGGGGAGTATTTTAAAGTAGCTTATTCTCTTTATAGATTAAGAGAATGCAATGAAAGTTACTATTTATTCTGCCTGAGCAACTGTTTTTTCCTTTCCCTTGAATTCCTTTCTGGGGCTTATGATTTATTGATGAGTCTTTGGGCAAGCAGCTTGAAATAGCTTCTCTGGCGCTCAAACGAGCAGTCCTACACTCGGGCTCTGAGCTCAGTCATGCGACTGGGGGAGCATGTGGACAGTAAGTGACTTGCATGTGCTTGCCTTACACAGAGGGCTCTTCTGCCCTGTGGAAGAGCTGGGTTCCGTCTGCATCTAGGTCACAGGTTGTTCCTCTGCGTTTGGGTTGGATGGTGTGAAGTCGCTGCCTGCTCTGAAGGCAGCTTGGAGCTCTAGGAGGTGATGATGGTCCTGATCTGCCTCCATAGCACTGAAGATGCTCTCAGTGAGGCATTCTCAAGTTGCTGCTACTTTGATCAGCAAGGAAGTGAAGTATTTGGGTTATTAAACCTCTAAAGGAATCAGAATGCTGTTTCTTATATTCTCTTCTGCTAGAACAAAGCAAAGAGAAAACATGCAAGGAAACCTCCGACTGCCTTATATTGGGACAGCAGAGCTTCATCAGTGCCAGACTTAGATACTAATTTGCTAGCTCTCTCATTGCCATAGAAGTTGGCTGCCCTTTTACAATTGGGGAAGCTGCCATATGGAGTAATAGTATATTTCTCTGCAAGGAGTTGAATCATGATAGCAGATGCCAAGTTAAAAAGAGCACTCCCCTTACTTTCCTGACAGTAGTGGGTTTGATGGAGATCTGTCATTGCCCTGACAGCCAAGGCTCTGGTTTTGTTTTGTGAGTTCATGTAGAAATTATCTGTCTTGAAACAGTCCGAAATCATTTTGGTGACCTACTTAGGGAACAATTTATAGCACAACATAGGGACGTTTGTATTCTCCAGTCCTGCATTCATTGAAGAACCAAAAACACTCATCAAGCTGAATTTGCTTAATGCAGGTTTGTTTGTTATTTTTTTTCCTGAGCTGTAGAATTCGGAGCTGGTTTGAACCTGAGGACCTTACCTTCAGCTCCTGTTGTGGTGGGGATCTTTTTGTTTTAGTACCAAAACAAATAACTCCTGAGCTAACCAAACTGATAGCTTTCAGCTTTTTGTTATGTTAATTAGGAACTTCAAAGGCTAGCTGTGCATTCCTTAGGCAACTATTTCAGAAGGAATGAATCCGAGTCTTGTTAAGGTTATTTTTATTACCATTTCTAATCCTTCAGCCGATGCAGCTGGTTTAATCTTAGCACTTGTAATCAAGGAAAGAAGCTGAAATATTTGACAAGTTAACAAAATGCCTTTTTTTACAAGAAGGCTAATATTTTCAGAGGCTTACTTAGGTAAAATATGACGATTCCCAACTGAACAGTCTGTTTGCTGGTTGTCTTCCAACACTGTGATAATGAATAGCACTGCGCTCCTGTCCTGACTGAGCAGTGACAATTTTCTTGACCTGTAGAGTTGAAGCCTTAGATTCAACACTCAGTCAAGCAGTGAATTATTCAATGGATAAAGCCCAGGTTGGGCTGAACACAGCAGTAACACAAAAGGTGTGCAAGAGTTGATTGAGCCTCACCATGGTTGATTGCCTGGCTCCTTTGCCAGCTGGGCTGCCAGTGGTCATACAGACTTGCTGTGTAAACCTGAGCTCTCAAAGAGGACAGTGGGTTCTGAAGTGGGATTTTTTTCATAGTGAGAAGCCTTTATTCTTTTCAGGTACTTCTTGAAGTAAAACTTGAAACAGGGAAATGAGAGCCTTCCTGTGTTATTGGAGTTCCTAATAAATGGCCATTGTTATGTTCACATATGCTGTGAAATCATCAGAATGTTCAATCTGATCATTTGCGTACACAAAAATTACTCCCCTAAGCCTGGAAATGGGTGAAATGGAAGCCAGCCTGCTGAGTTTCAGGAACAAGCTTGGCCTGTCATGTTACAAACCTGATTGTTTCTTCTATGAGGTGGTAACTGTTTGCAGGAGTCAGAGCAATCAAAAGCAAGCTGCATGAATTGAGAGTCTGAGCCTGGAGCACTGCCTTTCTCTTTGGATAAGCATTCAGAATTGCCTGTCAGTGCACTGCTTTCCCCTACATCACCTGCTGTCAGCTGTCCGGGCTGTTTGTTGCAGCTGCTGAGCACACAACTGAAAAGTATGGCTTCTGTTTTCTGAAGTGCCCATAAAGTGATTTGGACTGGACTGACGAGCACGGGAAGGGAGGGATCTGCCAGCTCCATTTCTTGCTGGAAAGTGATACTTGGAAATGCAGACCTCTCCTGAGCAGTGTGAGGTACAGAATATTTTTTAGCTCCAATGATTTTGGCAAAGCATTATTTCTGTACAGGCAGATGAAGGTGCAGCTTCCTTGTGGAGAAGAGATCAGGCAGGTTAATGCACCAGATCACACTTAAGCCCTTCCATGTACAGTTCTGCTCTAACTCATCACTGCTCCTCGCTTGTGTTGTAGAGCTGTTCGAGATCATTCATGAGAAGTGATAATGCACCCTGGGTCACAAATGCAACACTTGGAAACAGATTTCACAGTTTCACCTCTCCTCTGAGAATTGGTGTGAGTCCAGGCAGTGGATGTTATTGATTTGGAGCCTGCTTATAAATTACATATCTGCCTGGGAGATCTGTGTCAAGCCCACTGTCTCAACCACCATGTATGGCCTTGTGTAGTTGGAAGTGGAAGGTGGTTTTTTGGGCTTGTTGCCTGGATTTATTTACTCTTTTTCTGAATGGCCTTAACTGGTAAGAGTTGTATTCCAGCATGGAGGAGAGCCTCCAAAAGGGTTCTGCAGTAACACTCCCATTGCAGCTCGATGTCTGCAGCCAGCTCCTAGCCTAGCTGTAGGTAGAGCATCCAGCCTGCTGCCAAGCTCCTCTAGATCCCGAGCAGCTGACCTGTCAAACACAATGAAGGGAAACAGCTCGCATTCCCTGAAGGCATCTGACAGCAAGAGCAGCAGGCTGTCAGAGAACACGCCATGACCTTGTGCTGGCAGAGGTAGAAGACTCTGCAGAGGAGAGTTCTCGCCTTAGCAGTTTGGCTGTTACCAGGCTCTAAACCAAAACCAAATTGGAAGGCAGTCCTTAATTTAGTGAAGCTGCTAATGGGATTCCAAGTGGGTATGTTGTGTACTTGCTGCTGATGGAAAGCATCTGTGTTACTTTCAGACTTGACGTGGAAAGTTGGTTCTTACGCTCAAGTCTGGAATTTAAAGCATCAGCAACCTACGCTACTGAAGCAGTGATGTAGCATTGTTCTTAGGAGGTGGCTTTTCCCCTCGCTGCCATATGTTGGCCATCAGAGGGTTGTGCTGCAGGGAAGGACGTCAGCAGTGTGCTCATGCTGCAAGGTGAGCAGTGCGTTCTGGAGGATACTTCTCCAATTAGATGGTCTCAGACAAGACATAAGGAATTGGGAGCCCGCTACCCATCTTCAGTGGGTCAGACACTTTCAGCAATGGAGCATCACATGAAAATCTGTCACCTCCTTGACTTTTATCCCTCTGAAGCTTTGCGGTCTGCTTGACTCAATTCACAAGCTGGTCATTTATTATTTTTTTCTCCTTTCAAAAAAGATGGCAGATGGAAAGCTGTTTTGATTTAAAATGCTTCTGTTTAAACTCTCAAATGTCTGAGGCTAGAGGTCTTGTTAAAGATTTAGTAGCTCATACGCAGACCGACAGGTTAAAGCTGCGGAGCCCCAGGCAGAGTTAGACTGGACTGGAGAATGTATTGAAGGCAAGTGGAGGTTGCTTTCAAGCATGAAAAACCTGCAGAGACGTCTCAGCTGCTGGTATCACTTCAAATGTCAGTGATTGTCTCGGGCTCCCACCAAAGGAGCAAAGTGTACTGTGTTGTGTGATGGCAGCTAGGCTGGAAATGCTCCCCCATCTGTCCCAGTGCTATGTCTGGGGACACTGTATTGTTTTCTATCCTGCTTGCAAAAATGACACGTAACAGCTGATTTCTGCATCATTACAGATGCTTGCAGTGTGACGTGTGATGTCATTGCTGAGCCCAACGGAGCAGTTTGGGGGAAGGCTAAAGTGAGGTTTCTGTGCTTTGCTGGGAAAAATTACACTTCACAGTGTGTCTTAATTGTGCAGCTCTCCAGAGTATAGCAAAGCAGCTTACTCAATGTGTTTCTGCAGAGTTGAGAAGCAGGTCAGCAGATACCTTTTTATAGCATTTTTGGAGCTGCAGGGACAGGGTTAGCATATTAATTTGGTGCGTGCCTCCAGAACTGTGACTGGAGAGAAGGCGCTGCTTTCCAGCCCTTGTAAGAAACTGCTGTTGTATGGCAACAACAATTAGCTGCGAAGGCAAAGTAGTCTCTGTTGTTTTAAGACAAGGCAATTAATCATGAAATCAGAGTTGGGAAGATCTTGGGTCACGCAGTGCAGACCCTGCTATGCCTTGTTTCTCAGCACTGCCTCATAGAGCTGTGTTGAGGCTAATTTTAAATACCCGAGTGCTGAAGCTTTTGTCTTCCTCAGGAGGATTTAGTGCTGCTTCATCATTCTCACTATCAGTTTTTCCCAGACATTAGCCTAAGTTTTCCCTCTTCTGGCTTATCTCTGGGGCTGCTCTGCCCAAGCGCAGTGTCTCCAATGGCCATGTGGTCCTTCCCCAGGCTCCTTCCCACAGTGAGGTGCATTTTTGGCTGCTCACCCCGTATTCCTAATTCCATTTTACAGAGGTGAATCCCTGAGGTCTGTCAGCCAATCCTCCTCACTCCCTCCTGTTCTCAGTGCCTCCATCACCAGCATTAGATGCTCAAAATCCCAAGTATGACATCCTTCAATATATTTTTATTTGAGATTGCACCATAATTTTAGTGGGCTTTAAACTAATCCTATATAAGCCAGTGTGTACTGTGGGAATTAAATATAAGCTACTACCTTTAATGATGGCTGAAAGTACAAACCCCCACGGAGTCACATTCACCTTCTTGCTTCTCTTTGCACTGCTGGGACCCCAGCTGCTGGATGATTCCATTGGGAATGCTCATTTCTGACCACCTATGTCTGATTAGCTGACTTGCGTTGGAATTCTGTTTTATTCCCCTCCTCATCTACCTACAGCTATTCTTGCAGAAATTTAAGGGTGCCTTTTTCAACCTACTACTACAGACAATAGATCTTCCCAGCAGAACACTGATGTCTGTAATTATTTAATGTGACTGGAGTTTATCTTGGCATAAGTCTGCATAGCAGCAAATTTATTTCTTTGGCTCGGCAGTCAGTGTGGTTGGGCTTGTGTTTCAGCTGGGTGAAAAGCTGCAGAAACTTCTTTTTCAAAGGAAGCTCCTGCAAGTCAGTGCTCACCACACAACCTCAATTCCAGGTCTCTGTCTGCTGAGCTGTACTCCTGTGACAAGCTATTGCAGTGCAGGATGTTGTGAGGATTGCATGAGAGGCATAGAAATCGGGCCCAGAGCTACATTTTCCATGTATATTATGACAGGGCACTTTCTCAGACCTCCCATTTGCTCCTGCTATACTGTCAGCTCTTAGCCTGCCTGGAGAGAACTGGAAGTGGCGTTGCTCTCAGTTGGCAGAGTTTCATCAATGATGTGGCAACCCTGTGTGATAAGAAGCAGTGTGGTGCATCTCCCTCACTGGTGGTGTTTAATGACATGAGAGTCAAGTCTTTTGTCAAATTATCCTTTTTTTTTTTTTCTCCACCTGCCCTGATTGCTCCATGTCTGAGTTTTCGTCCAGGAATGAATGCAGCACATTGTGTGCTTGGTGGGAGATGCTATGAGGAATATACAGAGCAGAGCAGCTTCAGGCTTAACATGATTAAGCCAGGAGCCTGCAAGCACTGACATGGCTGAGAGTTGGGATTAAAGTTTAGGGGATACACAGGGCTTTGGAGATGGGGAATTGCAAAGGTGAGATGGAAAAAGAGGAGGGATGGAGAAGCTCATGTGTAACATGACAGACACGATAGTAGCTGTTTGTGGCCACTGTAGACAAACTTATACTGAGGATGCAAGAAGTGAGGGGAGGGGGTGGCTGAGCAAGAGTAGAGAAGAGCAGAGTTGCTGTCTGGGACCTGTCAGTGCAGTTGGCTCTGAAGCATTGTGGTGAAATGCCTGCAGAAGATTGAGCAGCTTTTAGTGAAAATGGAGAGGGCATGGAGGGGTGGGAGTGATCTTTGTCTGAAATTCCCCAGCAGTACAGCAGCATCTCTCCAGGCAGTCTCATGCTCAGAGCTGACCTTTGCTAGGAGAGCAGTGAGAGCGTGAGCAGGCGATGGACCTTGCAGAGCCATGGGACCCCTCTGGACTTCCAGACAAATACTGATGCTTTAACCACCATTTCTTCTACAACAGGTAGCTGTGAAAAACAACATTGATGTCTTTTACTTCAGCTGCCTAATTCCTCTCAACGTGCTTTTTGTGGAGGATGGCAAAATGGGTGAGTGAGTGCTTTTAGGGCCGTGCTCGACCTTCCTGAGCCCTACAGCATCCAGCTGGGCACAGCTGTGCCGTGGCTGAGATCCACGTGTGCCTGCCCGTGATCTTTGTGCCAGCGTATCCCAGCAGCCTGATTGATCTGCAATGGTTGGGTGGCTTGTCCCCATAGCCCTGCAGCTCAGTAGCTGCATCTCACATCTGCTCTGAGCCTCTGTCAGACAAGGAGTGGATCTGTTTGCTTTGAAACTGATTTCTGGTGTTTTTTTTTTTTGTTGTTGTTTTGATTCTTTGGGGTTTGGTTCACTCAAATGAGTGTGGGAATTGCCTCAATTTGAACTCTTACATTCCCCTTCCCTTGATTACATTGTTTGGGTTGGCTTGTAAAGAGCATCTTAACTTGCACTGTAACATAATTCTTAAATCTGTGGGTCTCCTTGTCAAATCCCACCTGCTCTTGGTTTGTGAGGCTGTCTTTGGCTTGGGGACATCCAAAAACCACCAACACCTTGCTGCTTTTGCAGTGAGACTGGGGTTATCATAGAAACAAACCCTGGATCTGACCACACCAGGTCCAAATGTGATCCAGAGGTCTCCTGTGTCTCTGCCTTGCATTGTTCTGTTCTAATTAATGCTATAATTCTGCATGTGCTGATGGTGTGTCTTGTTTGCAGAGCGCCAGGTCTTCCTCGCGACTTGGAAAGACATTCCAAATGAAAATGAGCTGCAGTTCCAGATTAAAGACTGCCACCTGAATGCTGGTGAGTAGGTTAACTGTGCCATGCTGAGAGCATTGAGCAGCACCTTTGGTGTTCAGTGGACATCAATTTACAAAGAGCAGTGTGTGTGAGTAGCGCTTAAGAATGCAACAGCCTGTAAACCCTGGATCCTGGTCAAAAAGTTTAGCTGGATCCATAAAAATACATTTGAAATCTACGGTCTTCAATTTCACCTCTCTGCTTCTTCCTTTCATTCTGCATCTTGTGTTCTTGTTTTCTCTTTTACAGCTTTGCTTCTCTGTAAAGCTGCTCCTGTAAATGGAGCCGAGCACCTTTTTGGGAGCTGTGCTTAATCTCATCCTGCTGCTGTGTGTACCAGGCAATGCCATACAGCCCTGTCTTTAATCCTGGGTTGGTCTCTTCACCTTTCAGCATCTTTCTACTTTCTGTTGTGAAAGAGTGATCTTACACACTGCTATAGAAATGGTTGGAGGGCAGGCCATATGAGAGAAGAGCTGGTCTGCTGGAGCTAGTCTGCAGTAGGCAGACCTCATAGGTCTGACCTTACTACTGCTGAAGGATGGAGTGTAGCAGGTGGAATGTGGCTAGCTTGCAGCTTTGCACCCAGTCAACAGGCTCTGGACAGGAGCCAAGTGGTTTTACCCAAAGCTGCTGTGTTTCACAGGAGAAAGTGTCCCTATTGATGCTAAACCCCATAACTTTTTTATTCTCTCATCTGCCATTACACAATGAGCACCCTCTTGCTTCAATTGCAGAAAGAAACCATGGATCTCTTTGTGCTCATAATTATTACTATTTCAGAATGTAAAAGATTGAGCATGCAAAAGGGGAAAAAAATAGCAGCTGTTGAACCTTCTGACTTGATTTCACTGTGGGGGTTTCAGCTGAGAACAACCTCTGCTCCTCCTCCAGCCCTCCCTCTGCTCCACTGTGCTTGGCACGGCCTCTCCTGCACTGCAGTCTTGCTTCTGCTGTGGCTGTGCCCTGCTCCTTGCATCTCAAATCTGAGATGGTAACTTCTGTCATTGACACTGAGGTGTTGCAGTCCTTGCAGGCTTGGTCCTCTTGGAGGAGAGTGGCTCATGTTCTAGGAACTTCCTCATGGGAGGTGCTGAAGCAGAACACAGGCAGTCACCGGAGTTGCCACCAGGGTTTGGAGGCACGCTGTGCCATCCAGGGCCAGCTGTCACTGCACAGCAGGCACCTTACAGCCCCTCATGTGCAAAATGCAGGCTTTTCCCAGATTTCTTCTTTTGTTCCTTCAAACAGAGATCGGCATAAGAGTGGAGATGCTCCTGTGTTTGTCTGCTCTGAGGCCGTTGTGGGTAAAAGACTCCTATGTCTGCAGTGCAAGCCAAGCAGGGCTGGCTGGAGCTTTGATGGTTTGCAGCAGGGATAGCAGGAAAGGCTGCATCTTTGGCAGCTCACCCCGTGCCATGGCACAGAGCAGCTGGAAAACCTTGGTGGCAGCCCTCAGTGCCACCAGCTGAACCGAAGGTGAGGTGCCAGGCACCTGGATGAGAGCAGCGTGCTGCTCCTATCCCCAGCATCAGGCTGGGTATTGGGAAAACTTTCTTCTCTGAAGGAGTGGTGATGCAGTGGCACAGCTGCACAGGGAGGTGGTGGTGGGGTCCCCATCCCTGTGGTGTTTCTAATCCGTGGAGACGTGATCAGTGGGCACAGTGGCAGTGGGTTGGAGTTGGACTTGGGAATCCGAGAGATCTTTTCCAACCATAGTGGTTCCTAGCAGTGAGAGCCAGCACAGCCCTGGGCTGTCTTTGGGGCCTTATGGCCACAGAGGAGTGAGTGTCTTCGGAGCTGTGTCTCAGAGCTGGGCTGTACTTGTGATGCGCTGCACATCTTGAATTGATCAGAGCTGTGCTTCACACGTCTGCCTATTTAGGAGGAGGTTATGATAGTGCTGTGAAGAAAAGTATATTCTGAGATGCAGCTTGCAATGAAAACAGAAGGTCAATGGATACAGTGCTGTGTTCTCAGCTCTTAGAACTCAGTGCTAACCTAATTGTTTTGTTTTAAATGAAATGGCAGGTGCCCAGCACTAAAAGCTCCATGGTGCCCATGGAGTCTGCCACCAGAGTGTATGGGGAGGGCCAGGAGGGCTGCAAAGCCTTCAACCCCATTCTCACTACTGATCACTACCACATCCTGCATGCATTGTGCCAGATTTAGTGGTGTTTGTGTCAGCCATGCTGGAAATAGACCCAGCAATCTGGGTGCTCTGGGTACAGCTGGACCCACTGAGGCTTCCCCTGCACCAAAGCTCCATTTGCTGCCTTTACACTGCTTTTTGACATGCTGAGCTGGATGGAATGGTAAAGGACTGCTACATGAAGCTGGGCTGTGCCCGTCAGATTAGCTGGATGGTTTTCTTTTTTTAAAATTTGCTTACTCAAGCGCCGAGTGAAGGAGCAGAGGCTGACTTGCATGTGGAGAATGAATGCCGTTAAACAGGGATAATTAGTTGCTGTGCTGTTCAGCAGTTCTGGTAACTTTGGTGTGAAATGAAATCTTCAGCGTTTGGAGCTGAACGTGGCTTTATTGGTATGCAGCGGTCATCTCAGCTTTCCCCAAGTAATGTACTAATGCTGGAACTGAGAGAAATTGCATTTTCTTGTTGGAACAAACAGGGACACAATCACATGCAGGTTTGTCTGATGTTTATTTCTGTATGCACAAACCTAACAGCCCGGTTGTCATTTATTAAGGAGCCCGTGCTTGTGGCATGCAGTGGAAATGAATGGTGATATTGAACTACATGCTCTCCTCTGGATGCCATCCTGCATCACAGGGTGCTGGTTGGCAGTTGCTGGGCACTGCAGGAGCAGGGAGGTGTGTGTGTGGTTCCTGCCCATGCCAGGCACTGGCCGGGGCTCTGCTGAGTGCTGTGCTCGTGGTGGGAGCTCAGCGGCTCTGCTCCCAGCAGCTCCCTGCCTGTAAGGGCTGTGCTGTCAGATGGCATTAGCGGCCCTGCCTGCAGCCAGCACAGCCTGGCACTGTTGCTTAGCAACTTGCCTGATCTCCGAAATCCCAAATTCTCATGCTGGCCTAGCACAGGAGGGATGGGGACCCGCAACCTGGGGGCAAATAGAGTGGCTCCCAGCTCCCCCCAAATCAGGGCTGGAGGAGGGGGCAGGAGGTGCTGGGTGAGCACGTTGTTTCTCTGGGTGGCTGGATGAAATGGGATGACTTCTGGTAGGATTTCAGGCACTTTTGAGGGCGTATCTGAGGTCAGTGAGGGCAGCTCCACAGTGCCCCTGTGCCTGCTCAGGGTGAGTTTGTTGTAGAGAGCAGGAGCAGAGGATGGGAGAAGGCAATGGAAGGAATAAGGGTTTTTAAGCAAAGGATCTCATTAGGTACTTATATCTGCCAGTTTCCATAGTAACTGGGGAAGAGAGAGAACCTAAATCTGAATGTGTCTGAGTAGCTGGATGCTGGAAGCCTCCCTGACCTGCATGCAGCCACTCTGCAGCCAGTGGGCACAGGGGTGCAGCCTGGGGTATGGACACCACTCTGAGCCTTCCACCCCAGCATGCAGTGTGCTTCTCTTGCTGCCATCCAAGGGCTGAGGACCGCCCTGCCCTACACCAAGAAGCCCCTTGGCAGCCAGAAGCTGCTGCATTGGGTCTTCCTGTTCTGCATGTTTTCTTCTGCTCTTGCTTCTTCAGAAGGTCCCATGGAAGTAATTTGCATCACAGTTGCCTCCATACAGTTCTGCAGGTGAAATCTCACACCTCCCATCAGTGCCAAGGCCATGCAGTGTGTTAAAACTGTCACAGCCCTGTGCTGAAGAAGCTGCTCCAGGCTCTGCTGTCTCCACAGACATATCTGAGATAACATGCATTTTTCTTTCTTTTTTTCTCTGCAGACACTGTCTCCAGCAAACTGCAGAACAACAATGTCTACACCATTGCCAAGAGGAACGTGGAGGGTCAGGACATGCTGTACCAGTCCCTCAAGCTCACCAATGGCATCTGGATCCTGGCTGAGCTTCGCATCCAGCCAGGCAATCCCAATTACACGGTGAGACCACAGGGATGTGGCACATGCTGGGATCCTCCTAGCTCAGCTGGTATTGATGCAGATCCCATTCATTTGTGTAGGGGAGCAGAATTCCCACTGAACTGCAGAAAGTGAGATACAACAGAATTGTGCTGCTCTGTTACCAGTGAGCTGGGATAATGCCCACTCAGCAATAACTGTTTATTTGCCAAGGTTACCCAGAGATAAAGCCAAGAGACATTAGCAAGAAAGCATTGCCAGGACACCCTCCTCCCCCCCCACCTCCCCCGAGCAAACAAGCAGCAATTGATGCCTGGCTGGCTCCACAGCAGAGCTGGCTGTCTGGGCATTAGTGGCTTCAGGCTCCTGCTGGCATCAGCCTGTGGCTGGTGGGAATCATAGAATCATTAAGGCTGGAAAAGACCACTGATATCTAGTCCAACCACCAATCCATCACCACCATGAAATTGCTGGCTGCCCTGTGTCGTGTACCCCTGTGGCCGTTCCCTTTGACTGCTCCCATTCTCAGCATCCCACTGTTAGAATGTGTCTCTCCTGTTGGAAGGTGTTCTGGGCTGGGGAGCTGTAGGATGAAAGCAAGTGATGGGAAATGCTTCAGCGAGAAGACTGACGCCATTCTGCTGATCTTGGCCCAGTCCTTGCTTCACAGATTTGCAGTGTCCAAGTTTCAGTCTGTAAGGACTGAGCATGCAGACATGCCCTGAGGCATAGGGCTGTGATTTACATTGTGACAGCAAATTGCTGTTACAGAGCTCAGACCAGCGTGTCCCCTTTGCTCATGCCTACAGTGCTGTGTTTGGTAAGGAATTTGGGAACCCCATGTGGGCGTTTGCTTTCGTGTGCTTCCTCCTGCTTGTGACAAGCACTGAGAAAGCAGTTTGGTTTTGGTGGTGAAAGCAGCAAAATCCAGAACTATTCTGGATCTGAATAGAATGATTAAGGTTGGAAAAGACCTCTGAGACCCCCACATCCAACCCCCTGCACCCTACCATGCCCACTGACCACATCCCTCAGTGCCACATCTCCATGGTTCTGGAACACCTCCAGGGATGGTGACCCCTGCCTCCCCTCCCCCCCATCCCACTCCCCCCATCTCTGGGCAGCTGTGCCACTGCATTTCCACTCTTTTGGAGAAGAAATGTTTTCTGATACCCTCCCCAGCTGCATAAAGCAGCAGAAACTTTGTCCACCCTGTGCTGTAGGTCAGGAGGTGCCATCCCTGCACCACCACCACTAACCTCTGCTCTCCTCCTGCCCTCAGCTTTCTCTGAAATGCCGTGCCCCCGAGGTGTCCCAGTACATCTACCAGGCCTACGATGCCATCCTGAAGAACTGATGGAGCTCTGCCTGTGCCTCACCCTGCAGGAGGACAGAGAAACGGTCCCTGGGTCCTCCTCCACTGCTGGTGTGGGGAAAAGCACCCTTAAACTGGAAGCAGCTGTATTCATGTGTAGGATTTCAGTCCGAGGCACTGATTAAACAAGGTAGCAATTAGTATCCACATGCTAACGATGATAGGGAACAAACCCCTTTGATATTTTTAGCGTCCATGGAGTTTGTAACCACTGCTTCAATTCCCCTCCCCCCCTCCATCCCCTTTGCCCCTCTCTTGTCCATTCTCGTGGGCTTCTCCATTTTGTGCCAATGTCAGTGTTTTCTAAATGGCTTTAGGTGTAGTTCTGATTTTGTAAAATACTGCTCACTGGAAAAGAAAAAAAAAAAAAACAACACAGAAAAACCCAACCCACAGCTTATTAAAACAAGGCAAAATGGTCGAAAACATACACTGCACTTTATTTTATATTTTTATACATTTTTTGTTTTTTTTCTTATCTGTGATTGGCTTTAAAGGGAAAGTGATTCTGTGGAAGTGGTGGGCACCCTGCAGGGCTGGCTGTGGGCTGACTGTGAGGAACAGAGCCATGTGCTGCACCTGTGGAGCTGAGGGGCTCTAAATGCAGCGAGGGGTTTTTATTGGGCCTCAGCTCTGCTCCCTATGATGTTTAACTCCATCCATCATCTCCCTGCCCTGTGAGCTGCCGAGTAAGGAGGGAAACTCCTCGTGTGTGGGGAGGGGCTGTGGACAGATGGCTAATGGGACAGTGGAGGACAAAATGAGAACGGGCTCACTACTAGGGCAAAAGCACGGGCTGTGTTCTCTGTGTCCTCGCCATCTGCAGCTCCTCCTCTTGCTTTCTCTGCCTTTCGCCCAACCCTTGAGCTGTGCCCCTGCACCCAGTGCTGTACGTCCCAGCAGGGCTGCAGGCATCTGATGTCCGTGGGCCCTGGCAGGATCCTGAGGCTCTGCAGTGGGGCTGAGTGGTTCTCCCCACTCCCATGGTGGCACAACAGACCAATTTGGGCTTGGCAGTGCTTGCACTTGCTGAGCTGAGCACACCTCAAAAGCATTTCTTCTGTTAGCAGCCCCCAGGGCACGAAGCACTGAGGGTTTCTCAGTCCTTGCCTGCAGCCCCCGGCCTCTGTTCTCCTACCCACCCTTTGGGCTGGGAGCCCTTCCCTTTCCCATTCACAGCTGTGCACTCACCGTGTTGCAACCAGTGAGTGCTGCAGCCCCAGCAGTGAATGCAAAGCCTTGTGCATGCCTTGCTCCATCCATTGCTTGCCCTGCTTCATTCAGCAAAGCCTTTAACCAGGGCAGCTCTGCCCTCCCCAGCATGTTTTGATGCCAGCTCTTCCCCAGCAAGCAAAGCTCTGACGCATAGCAGCCCCCATGTTGTCATTTAGATGCCACGTTCAAGGTCAGTAAATGTTTTATGGTGAAGATGGTTCATCAGGGCTCTGTCATCGCCTGCAGCCAAGAGGCCGATGCTGGGAAGAGGTCAGAAAGCCCCGTTTATCTCCCCCCACCCTGAGCCTCAGTGCAGAGAAGAGGAGCACCTGGCGGGGCCTGGAAGGCTCTGTCCCTGTGTTCTGGTTGGGGAAAAAGTGGGGCAGAGCTGGAGTAACACAGTGCCTGTGTGTGCTGGGAGGTGATTGCTCCAAGCCCTGCAGGGCCACGGCACAAATCATTATTAGAGCAATTAACGAAGCAGCGGCAGCGCTGAGTGCTGGGGCAGGGAGAAGACAGCAGAGGGTGAGGGATGAGCTCAGCCTTACACCACGCAGCTGGAGGAGCTTTGATATGGGGAGGGGATGCTCAGCACCCCTTCCTGTGCCACATTTCTTCCCAGCATCTCGGGCACATGGGTGTCCCTGCGTTTCTGAGCCCTCCTCTCCTGCTGTGCCGCTCGGTTGCTTTGCTCACCATGTAGCTGTGTTGCTCTTCAGGCTTTACCTGGCGTCCGTGTCAATAAACTCATTTCCACAAGGCCGTGGCTGTGCTGTGGCTCTGTGGCTGTGGGGGCTGCTGGGCTTTGTGGGATTGGGCTGTGGGTGCTCCTCGGGAGTCCCTTTCCTGTACCAGCCACTTCTTTTCTACAGCAGAGATCTCTGAGGCTGTTCTGGGGCTGGCACAGAGTGTGGACCAAGCATCCCCAGGGCTGATCTTCCACTGTGTGTGACAGTGGCCCAGTGGAGGATGGGAGGAGGATGGATGTCCCCATCTCACCCCATCTCACCCTCTCTGAGGGGCTGTGTGTGCCCTGACTTGCTTTTCCCACGTGCATCAGTGATGCATTGGAGTGCTCTTAACCCGTGCTGGCATCTTGCAGAGGGTTTTATCTTGGAGCAGAGTGGGTTGCCAACCGTCTGTGCTGGCAGCCAGCCCCAGGTTGGCCAGGTTGGAAGGATCAGGAACGACCTCAAGGAGCAGGAGGAGTGCTGCCCTGTGCTTCTCCTCTGCCCAGCTCTGGGTCGGCAGTTCCCATTTGTCCAACAGGACCCAAAGTGGCTGTGAGATGTCCAGAGCTGCCCCATCCCCATTGCATCCTACAGCAAAGGGAAGGGCTCATCCTTCCCCATGGCTCTGCTGGGGGCTTCCTGAGGAGAAATCGGTCCTTCTCTTGCTCTGGATTTGCAGGCAGGCTCATGCCCCATAAACAGGGACACACCAACCCTTGCCAGTGCTGATCCTTGCAAACTGGGTTTGTTCACCACTCCTGTTAGCGCGTGGCACTGGGATCACAGTGACATGGGTGGCTTCGGACTTGGAGCTGCTGCAGGGCCATAGGGGGGGTGCCCTATGAGAAGATGAGCCCAATCCCACCGTGCCCTTTGATGGCTGATTTTGGGTCTGCATCCCTCCCTGCAGCCAGGCCGGGGATAGATGCAGGGCCAACTCTACTTCCCTCCTCCCAACCCCCCCAAAGGCCACCGTATATTACATTTCACAAATAAAACCACGAGTGAAGAGCGCCGCGAAGGGAGCTGCTAAAAATATCCCCGAGGCTGAAGCTTGGATTGTGCGGGCGAGTTCATCGCAGCCGCGATCCCGGCCCCTTCCCAGCAGCGCTCTTTGCGGTGCCGGGAAGCGACGCCCGGGGGTGGCGGGTGGGAGGTGGGCAGCGCCTGCAGAGGCACTGAGTGTTTCCCCGGCTGTGAGCATCAGGGAAACAAACCCCGAATCCCAAAAAGCTTGGGGGTAATGCGGGATGCGCTGGGCTCAGCGCAAAGGCCGTCCCTGTGCTCCCAGCTGTAGGGCTGTGGCCGGTATCCCGTTTTGTCCCCGGGAAGGAGGGGGGCTGCGATGGCCGAGTGCTTCCATTTATACCCAGCTCACCCCATCTGATGCTTTCCCAACCAGAGGTATCAGCGGGGTTGGGGGGGGGGGGGCCTTGGCCACGGCAAAGTCGTTGTTTGAGTTCTGCCGACCTGCGGGGTGACAGCCAGACCCGTGGGGATGTCCCAGCCCTCCGTGGAGAGCAGAGAGAGGTTCGGGTTCTGCTTTGAGGTGTGCGGCTCCGACCCCGCTCCCTGGAGATGCAGCCATCCTCTCCCTCGCCATCGATAAATGCTGGTTGCGGGGTGTCCCAAAGCCACAGCTCTGCGATGGAGACGTCCGACCCCGGGGGGATGCGGTGCGTCCGGGAGCCGCGTGGTGAGCCGAGCTGGGGTCCTACGGCGTGGGATGGGGACACGGGAACGGGGAGGGCTGAGCCGCTGCCGCACCGGGGGCACATGGGTGGGTCTTTTCCCATCAGCACCTCCCAGAGCCCCGGGAGAAGCCGCGTCCTTCCCGGCTCCCCGCAGCGCGCTCCGGGCATTCCCCGCATCGCCTCCCTGCGCTGCCTCCCTCCCTCCCCGCATATCTCCGGGCGCTGCCGCCTCCTCATCTCTCGGGCATTCCTCGCATCGCTCCCCGCGCTCCATCCCCAGAGGAGGTTCTACCTCCCTCCATCCCTCCCTCCCTCCCTCCTTCCAGCCCCGCTTCCCCCGCAGCCCCTCGCCGGGCGGGGGCCGTGCCGGGCACTCACTGCAGCGGGGCCGCCCGCCCCGCACCGGGTTCGCCGCATGGCTCCTCCGCCCGCCGGGACAACGCCGGCCCGGGGCACCGCCGCTGCGAGGTAACGGAGGGGAGAGGGAATGGGGAGGGGACGGGAGCGATGCTGGTGGGAAGGGGGGAAGTTCAACGAGGGGGTACCCGGCTGAAGTTGAGCGGCAGAGCTCGGCCGCTCTCCCTCCCTTTTCCCCCAAGGCAGTGGATTTGCGCGGTGCCCGCATCCCCCGCCTCTGTACCCCCGCGCTGTGCTCCTTCCTCAGGTCGGCCCCGACCCCCGCGGTCTGGGGGGGGGGAGGGATGCGGTGCTGCCCCAGAGCATCGCCGCGGCGAGTGGGATGAGGCCCCGCGGGCAGCAAACTGGGGAGAGGGGCACAAGGTCACGATGCCCCGCAGCCTGCCCCGCACCGGGGGTCTCACCCTGCTGAGTTCCGTCCCTGCTATGTCCCCGTTCAGGCTTCAGTTTCCTTTTGTGTCCCCAAATGCTGCTGCTGCCATCAGGCCAGCTACTTGTGCTTTGGGGGCAACCTCATCCCTAGGGCCCACAGGACAGCGATCCCCATGTGTGGCTCCACCTGGGATGGGAATGGGGTTTGGGGGATGCTGAGGGTGGTGGCATGGCATTGCCCAGCAGTTTGGGGCACCCCGTGTCCCCATGGCACCCTATGGGGCTGCAGGACTCCACACCCCTGCCAGTGGGTGGAGAAAGGGGTATGGGGACAATGGGGTGGCCTGGCCATGACACTGCTTTCTGCTATCAGAGCCAGGCCCCAGTGGGGTGTCCCTGCCCCTGGACTGCATCAGGCCCTGCTGGGTCCCTGCAATGGGGACGGCCATGGCCACACTCTCCCTGGGGCAAATATCACCATCACTCAGGGTGAAATGGGGCTGCTGGAGCCTCTGACAGCCCGGGGACCGTGCCCTGTGCCTTGGGGATGTTTGTCAGGGAACGCAGAGAGAGCATCACCAACTGGGAAAAGCATCCATGCATTGAGATACAGCAGGAGCTGCTCCCAGGGATGGGAAATGCAGTGGGACCCATCCCACTGACATTGCTATTCCCGTTGCAGCTGGTTGGGACCTCAGTGCCAGTGGGTGCTGGGAATTCTCTGACCCCATTTCTGCATTCCTGTGCCCAAGCCATTGCCTTGGGGCCCCCGCCACGTGTGCCCGCAGCTCGCCCTGTCAGCTGGCTGGGAAATTAGCCTCCATCAAGTTAATTGCTGAAGCGCTCAAAGCCTGAAATTAAACATTAAAGCTGTCACTTGCAGGCACTGAGCAATCCCCCCTTCAGCAAAAGGCAATTCCAGCTGTCCAAATCGGGGAGACGGATTCCCCAGCTCGGGGCATAGAGCAGCCGGTGGCCATCCCCATCAGAAATGCCCCCTTGTCACAGGGTTTGGGACATGATAGCCTTCTCCTTGGCCCCGCAGTGATGTGCTGTCCCGGCGGGGAAATGCATCCTGAATGGGGCTGAGCCCCCCTGCACGGGAATATGCAGCGTCGGCGCCGCGGGAGCAGCACTGGGGCAGCGGCCGGCGGCCGGCGGTATGGTGGCAACCTTCAAGATCGCCGTGCTGGGAGCCCAGGGCGTGGGCAAGAGTGCCATAGTCCGGCAGTTCCTCTACAACGAGTTCAGCGAGGTCTGTGTGCCCACCACGGCCCGCCGCGTCTACCTGCCCGCCGTCGTCATGAACGGCCACGTGCACGACCTGCAGATCATGGATTTTCCGCCCATCCCCGCCTTCCCCGTCAACACCCTGCAGGTAGGGGCACGGAGTGGGGCCTCCTGCTGTGGGGGTTCGCTTCCTGAAAGCTGAGGTTCGTGTTGAGGTTGGGATAGAGTGTTGGTTCTTTGGTAATTTTTCAGCCCCAAATGATGGCCAACCCTGAAGGATGGGGTCCCACCTGTTGTCCCCGAGTGAAGGGCTGATGGAGCCAACATGTCCAGCACCCAACGCACCGCGCACCCATTGCCCAGTGCTGCCATGGGGTCAGGGTTGTGCTGTGTGTAACTGTGGTTCCTCTAAGCCTGGCCATACATTCCCTTTGGGAAAGAGCCATTTTCACAGAATCATAGAATCATTAAGGTTGGAAAAGTCCACTAAGATCATCGAGTCCAACCATCAACCCATCAGGTCCATTTTCCTCTCTTGAGCTCATGATTAACCCCAGTTTCATCCCAGCACAGCCCTCGCCACTGGGTTTGTCCTGGCGGTGCCCTGAGCTCCGCCATCAACACTGACCCATCCCTGAAGGTTAATATGAGAAAAAAAGGATTTGAAAGCTGTACCTCTGCCGGGGCCAGGCTGTTGGATTTTTAATTGGTATAATTACATCACCATGGGTCACAAGTCCTTTCACTGCTGCTCCAAAGCTGTGGGGCGGGAGGTGAGGGGCTCGGGGAGGTTTAAAAATTACATGTAATGTGCAGGAAATGGAAGGTCAGTGGGAGATGGACCAGAATAGAGGGTCATTGATCGACCTGGCAGATGATGCTCACGTACTCAATTGACCCTGCGGGCTGGCAAATCCCATTATCCTTCCCCTGGGTTAATGAAAAGGAATCACAGGGACATGGCAGGGCAGAGGTGAGATGGGGGGTGGGGATTTGGGGATGGAAAATGAGACATGCACAACACAACGCTCTTGGTCAGGAGTCCCACATACACGTAGAATGCCCAGTGGTGGATCCTACAAACTTCTTTCCTCCTGCAAATATGTCTGGTCCCAAAGTGAAGCGGCATCCTGTGGGACACGCCAGGACTGATCCCTCTCTGCACCTTGCAGGAGTGGGCAGACGTGTGTTGCAGGGGGCTCCGGAGCGTCCATGCCTACATCCTGGTCTATGACATCTGTTGCTTTGACAGCTTCGAGTACATCAAAACCATCCGCCAGCAGATCCTGGAAACAAGGTAGGGGCCATTTGCCGG